ACGAAACTCTGGTAATTCATGGTGGAGATCTGCTTACTTTATGCGGTGTTACCCCAAAACTTTATTATTGTAGTAATGTAATTTTATTGTGTTGTTTATCTAAATGGGCTACGAAAAACTCATTCCGATTGCAGTATCTCCGTGATCAGCAGAAACCAACGAGCCATCGACAATAAACCTGTATTTCGAATTACTTCGTTTAAATCTCAGAAAATCCACTTGATTCTGCACTATCAAGAACTCTCTTCTCTCTTCTTAAGCCCTTGTCCACCCAATGCTGAGTGTGGATCAAATACACTCCTAAAAGACTGTGCATGGAGATTATTGGCCTTAAAACGCCACGTTGGCCGTTACGGGTTGGCGATTCGACTTATTTCAAGGGTATTTAGATCCTTGAGCTTGTGGTAGCCCTATCTGCATTCTTTGCCGAGATAGGGACATTTATACATCTATCAATAGCTACTTCTACGTAAACTTAATACAACACACCGTATTCCAAGAGAACTTATCGAGCATCTAATCTCCGGCCGTCTACAGAACTCTTCAAAGGCCAAAACGCCTGTCTGTCAAAATCCGCCCTCTGAAAGTAACGCAAACTCGTTGAAACATTAAAACAAAGCATTCACAGATAATGCTGTTGGCAAGGTTCGCCGGAACAAAGTGGTCTCCCGGGCAGGTAGTGGATTCGAGAGCAAATTGCCGGTTGAAAATTCACGGTTGATGGCGTTATCTCGCTGGGTGGCCGAGCATGAAGAACCGCTACATATAAAGGCGCGTCCAGATATACTGGATTCGCGGACGTCAAATTTTTTTATTTATTGCTTAGATGTGTAGACGAACTCACAGCCCACCTGGTGTTAAGTAGTTACTGGAGCCCATAGACATCTATAAAGTAAATGCGCTACCCACCTTGAGATATAATTTCTGAGGTCTCAAGTATAGTTACAACCGGCTGCCCCACCCTTCAAGCCGAAACGCATTACTGCTTCACGGCAGAAATAGGCAGGTCGGTGGTACCTACCCGCGCGGACTCACAAGAGGTCCTACCGCCAATAATTACGCAAAGTATAATTTTGCGGGTTTGATTTACGAATACTCCCTAAAGTAAATATGGTACGGTATACGAAATTATTCCCCTAGTAGCGGACGTTATACACGTGCAGACCTTATCCGAATATCCCGTTTTAAAGAGTTCGTAATGTATCAACAGTAGGTATGTTAAAGTAGGTATGTTACTGGTGGTAGGACCTCTTGTGAGTCCTCACGGGTAGGTACCACCACCCTGCCTATTTCTGCCGTGAAGCAGTAATACGTTTCGGTTTGAAGGGCGGGGCAGCCGTTGTAACTATACTGCGACCTTAGAACTGATATCTCAAGGTGGGTGGCGCATTTACGTCGTAGATGTCTATGGGCTCCAGTAAACACTTAACACCAGGTGGGCTGTGAGCTCCTATTCCTTGAGAGAGTGAGGGGTGGGCTGTGAGCTCCTATTCCTTTCCTTCCTATGCTGATAGCCTTGAGAGGCTGTACCAGTGAAAGCACACATTTTCACAAGTCGCATCGAAGAGAGAACTACAGGTCATCATCCATATCTGGTCGCGCCTTTAAAATTTTCCGTCGGAGAGCTTACTGCAAAGTAAATGCAATCCTATTCTGATACGTTTAAGTGCTTTAATTAAAGCTCGTTTTTGTTATCGTACTGAAAAACATTACTCGGGACAACAATTAAGTTTGATCCAGCATTTATGCTATAATTTTTTTTTGTGGTCACACATAATGTTTTTAAATTGTTAATACGTTAGTTAAGCTGTCTTCGTTTTCAGTTCTCATGAGGATCACGACGAAGCATAGTAAATTTTACCAAGCTAATTAGAATTAAGAATTTACACCTATTCATTCGATATGCATCATAGTCTTTCAAGTTTTTGCTCTTATAATAATCACGTATGGTTCCAATGAAATTTAAATTCGGCATCATACAGAAGACAAGGACTGGTTGTGTTTATTTATTTATTTAATTATTAATTTAGTTGCACTAACAAAGTGATCATCAAAAAACATTAACGAATTGACAATAAGTACATGACAGATGTCACCACAATTACTGGTGCAATCGACAGTGCAATATTTCACAACATCTTGAAATCAGAAAAATAAGAATAAATTGAATAAAAATACAATGAATAATTTTAAGAAATATTATATGAAATTCAGAATAATATTTTTCACTAAGCAACGATCGTTCTAATATCTACACTTTTAGGAAAAAATTTATATCTATAAATAAAACTTGATTACATTTGATCAGATTAATCATGATTAGGTTATATTTACGAGTTGAGAAATGATCCTCGCCAGATTTTTCCTGTAGTTTGTAAGACAATTAGAAAAAATATTTATGTCTTGTGTTATTTATAGTAAGAAATGTTGTGTGTATTCTCTGTCTTTTTATTCCGCTAACCAGTTAACATGGGGCGGATTGTTAGCTTTTTTTTATGTTTGAGAATTTACTGGTGGCCCGGAGGCCTTTCCAGTTTTACCAGGGCGAGCAAAGGCTCAGCCAGAAGGGGCGGGATTTGCTAACAGCTACCCGGGTGCCTCCAAAAGAGACGTAACCACTCAAGAGAAGCTGTTTTGCGAATGAATCTACTACCGGATCGGAATCGCGACCCGCTGAGAAGATCCGGCGAGAAACTCAGCGGGCTGATGCTTAGGTTAGGATTGTTAGCTGTTCTACCTCTGGCGCTATAGCTACCGCATCTACGCCATTAATCGGTAGTCAAGTTTTCATTCCCACAATCGTGCGTCAAACAATATTTAGAAACGACCAGCCAAATCCGGATTGCAAAACCTTAAATATTATTGTAGTCTAAACGATCTTGAACCACGTTTAGCGTTCATTGTTATTAAATTGTTGCATGGAGTGCATCAGTGTTTCAAACAACGTTCAAATTACAGAAAAATTTCCCTGGTTATGAAAATTTTCATATGGATTCTTGACTACAGAGCAATACAGATATAAATACTTTTATCAGTTTTATGCACAGTCCTATTTACCATTGGTCGCTTTGAGCAAGTGTTCGGGGTTGCCAAATCATCCTTAGCTTAGTTTTCCCTATATTTACGCAAATAATTGGCACATTCCTCAATATCTAACCGCAACATCTCTGCATCTTTACGTCGTGCGTGTTATTAGTAAGATCACATGGACAACGCCTTCGCTTTGTATTCAAAATAAGAAATATTTGGGGCTTTTGTTGTATTCATCAAAATAAGCAGAATCAAAACAGATTTGAGTCATAGCTACCATATCGTCAGAGCCCGTCGGAGTTAAAGATATTTTCGTAAAGGCATTTTCTTCATTGACCGAACTCACAATGAGATTTTGTATCTGACATGACTGCTGTGCTCGCATACATACAATCAATTTGGTTATATTTTCTTCTCCACTGACTCTGTATTTTATGTGAGCGAAATTCCAATTCAATTTTTCAATGTTTTTCTTTCAATTCAATTTTCGTATTTTCCACTGTTAAAACGAATATTGAATTTCATAAAACTCGGTTAAGAATTCACAAGACATTATCATAACATAATAACGTAATGATTGAAAGGCTAGAGAGATTGCAAAAGCTACGCTATTGATTTTAAAGTTATCGATTTTGTTGTTGTGTGATATGAAGTTATCCGAATATCGACTCAAATTCATTCAATTTTTATTTTTATTTTTTTATTGCTTAGATGGGTGGACGAGCTCACAGCCCACCTGGCGTTAAGTGGTTACTGGAGCCCATAGACATCTACAACGTAAATGCGCCACCCACCTCGAGATATAAGTTCTAAGGTCTCAGTATAGTTACAACGGCTACCCCACCCTTCGAACCGAAACGCATTACTGCTTCACGGCGGAAATAGGCGGAGCGATGGTACCTACCCGTGCGGACTCCCAAGAGATCCTACCACCTGTGAAATTCGATTTCAAACTATTTTCTTATAACATACAAAGTTTCATGTAGTTTCTCTTTATTTTAATAAAATTTATAAAAAAATATATAAATCATTTGCCGATAATAAACACAATAACTATTAAGCTCAATCACTTGCCACAAACTCGAATTTACAAGAAAATTTCTACTGTTACCTCAATAGTGATTTAGTTATTATGAACTAACTAATGAAGGCTATAAATAAGAGGTGTAACAAGACCTCCCACTATTTCATTTTAAGAGAAGCCCTACTACCTCCGTTATTGTGGGAGAAATATTAATGAAACACGAGGAAGTTCTTTGTGGTTTTTGCTTTTTAATTATGGTTAGTACTTAATAGAAGCGATTGGACATTGTGAATTGCTACTACAATATAGATGTGTGTATTTAAACACCTATACAAACAAAATAACTATATATAAGAAATTCAGATTGAAAATTGCACAAGCCCTGAGTTTTATACTAATTATTTGTATTTTCGGTCGTGAAATTGCATTCCGATTCGATAAAGTAGACGAGTTTTTGAAATCACCTTTTTTTATTGCATTGATTAGTGGACGAGCTCACAGCCCACCTGGTGTTAAGTGATTACCGGAGTCCATAGATATCTACAACGTAAATGCGCGATCCACCTTGAAATATGAGTTCTAAGGTCTCAAGTATAGTTACAACGGCTGCCTCACGCTTCAAACCGAAACGCATTACTGATTCACGGCAGAAATAGATAGGGCGGTGGTACCTACCCGTGCGGACTCACAAGGCGTTCTACCACCAGTAATTAGGCAAATCATAATTTTGCGGGTTTGATTTTTATTACACGATGTTACTCCTTCACCGTGGAAGTCAATCGTGAACATTTGTATGTATGTCATAAGTATGTATTTCATTAGAGAAATTGGTACTCGCCTGCGGGACTCGACTTAAAGTGCCTGTGAAACCTGTGAACAGTTTTTTTTTTATATACACTTCAGCATAATCCTTGGGTGGTTTTGTCTATAAACTGTATTTTGACAGGTGATAACTGCGAGCCGTTGTCTGGTCCTCTGTGCCGACACTCGGAGCGAGATGGAGTCCTGGGCTGATGCAGTGCGTGGCGCCCTCCACCGGGGTGCTGACGTCGCTGACCTCGTCGCGAGGCTGTCCTCCGGAGACCATCACTGGTAAGTTTTGCTGTTCAGTTGGAACCGATTCGACTGTCACTAGTTTTGTTCATATTTCTGCCGTGAAGCAGTAATGCGTTTCGGTTTGAAGGGCGGGGCAGCCGTTGTAACTATACTTGGGACCTTAGAACTTATGTCTCAAGGTGGGTGGAGCATTTAAGTTATAGATGTCTATGGGCTCCAGTAACCATTTAACACCAGGTGGGCTGTGAGCGTTTTTGTTTGACAAAAAACCATAAAAGTTGTTGTTTTAATTATAACAATTTTAGCGTTTAATCTTAATCATAATCTTTTTATTATATCAGGCCAATTTAAACTGCAAAACAACACAACTTATAATAATAATAAAAAAATTCACACAATTGTTTTATGATAATCATAAAAACCTTAGAATCTATATATTAATACGCGAAGCAAAAACTTTGTATCCCTTTTTACGAAAATTGCGCGGACGGAGGAGTATGAAATTTTCCACACTTATATAGAGAAGAAGTGCACAATGCTAATATTTTTTTTAAATAATGCATAAAAGATACATTAAATCAATAAAGAAAACATTACACACACTACATACTATGTATTTGACGCACACACGCATGCGTAATATTTATTGTCAAACTTTTATTCTTGACGTCTGTTGTCAAATTGAGAATAGATTAAATATTGTTTGTCTTTATTAATATTTTTTATAGTGTAGTCTTAGCGAAATTTGTGATTATAGAAGTATAAAATACAATCATAATAGTGTACAAACTTACAATTCCAATTAATTATAGTCGAATTTCGACTACTGCGGGACCTCTAGTAGTATTTATTCGACAAAAACAAGAGAAGGTAATTGTAATTTGAATAAGTAAAACTCTGGTCGAACTTTACAAACTTCCTCATCACTAAATAGCTCACGTGCGCAGCAACTTAGAACTGAATCCACCCAATAAACGGCAAATACAGATGTTGAATAATAAAATAATGTGATAGTAGGTACTACTAAAAATCACTTTCGGTGTCAACAAGGGCCACAGGAAACTCACAGACGAAAATAGTTTTATCTTCGTTGGCCAATAATTTATATAGAAAAAGAATAATTTGGAACGCATTTAATTAAGCGAGTGACATGAAATGTGGGTGTTTTCTCAAAGACACTTCTACACCGTTAACGGCCGTCTGGTGTAGTGGTAAGTGACATGGTCACTACACAAGGGGGTCGCGGGTTCGAATCCCGCCAAGGGAGGATATTTATATAATAAATATAAAATGTCTTTTCCAGGGTTATGGATGTATATTAAACATATGTATGTGTATAATAAAAATCTTACATTTATTTCCGTTATCTGGTACTTGTAACACAAGTTCTTTACGAACTTACCACGGGACCAGTTAACGTGGCGTGATTGTTGAATATTTATTATTATTATTATTATTACACCTTCTCTTTGCAATGAGCTATGTGTATAATATGCGTCTTAGTTAGAGAATTATTCGTCGAAGAATTATTCTAAAAACGTTTGACATTCAGTCTACATTGTTAGCTTGATGAATTGATTGTCTACATTGTTAGCTTTCAAATTACACCTATTTCTAAGACGTCTACATCGATAGCAATGATTAAATCAGTGCAGGCGCCTCAGCTGCGAAGTAAAAAAAACAAAATGGAAGCCATTCTAATATGGAGGGACCAAGAGAAAATTGGAATACTAAATTTGTAGATAAAAATCCCAAAATTTTCCCTCCATAAGTCTCCGACACTGGTGCACGGACACATTGTGTATTTACATAGTTCTAGATTAAACGCCATTTTGTGCGCGATTTGTTATAAATATTATGTAAAAATTTATGTTTGAACTATTGCGTTCCGGTCGATAAAGTAATCTAGGTGTACTAATGTTGGAAATCATAGACGCCTATTTCTACCGTGAAGCAATAATGCGTTTCGGTTTGAAGAGTGGGGCAGCCGTTGTAACTATATTGAGATCTTAGAACTTATATCTCAAGGTGTGTGGCGCATTTACGCTGTAGATGTCTATGGGCTCCAGTAACCACTTAACACCGGGAGGGCTGTGAGCTCGTCCACACATCTAAGCAATAAAAAAAAAAAAAACAATAAATCAACATTTTGTGTAAAACAAAAAGAAACTACTAAAATACGTCTAACAACCAAACCTAACATTAAGTAAACGCTGTGAGATATTTCACATTTAATTAAACACGTCGGAAGCGGGTAAACAGTAATAGCATTACGGCTCGTTCCTCCTCTCATTTCTTCATCTCGTTTCCCGTTATATTTTTGATCCTATTACTCAACAATAGACCTCCGGGAAAGCGTTCGTGGCGGAATTAAATTCATTTAAAAGCCTCGCCGGATTCGGTTCTGAGAAATTGACGGTTTCGCTCAAGCTTAACGTACTTACTACGTATTACGTTATGCACAAATGAGAGATCATCTTGGTTACTTTAAAAATAATCTCTTTTAACACTTTATATATCTTAACGGCCGTCTGGTGTAGTGGTAAGTGACATGGTCACTACACAAGGGGGTCGCGGGTTCGAATCCCGCCAAGGGGAGATATTTATATGATAAATATAAATGTCTTTTCCAGGGTTATGGATGTATATTAAATATATGTATGTGTATAATAAAAATCTTACATTTATTTCCGTTATCTGGTACCTGTAACACAAGTTCTTTACGAACTTATCACGGGACCAGTTAACGTGGCGTGATTGTTAGTAAATATTAAATTAAAAAAAAAAAAAAAACTATTTTGAGTATGTATATCCGGAAAGTATATTTTTACTATCTGAACTTGATTTAGTAAGCAATAAAAACGTCAATCGTTAGTGAAAGTGTAAATAGATAGTTAGGGTATTTTCGGCAAATGTTCAAAATTTAGAAAAATACATGTCTCCACTTCACACGATGTAGAAATGAAACCTTCAGAAGTATGTCTAATTTCCTCGCAGTCTGAATCCTATAGTATGGTGAGTCTACCATCGGAGCAGAGTTCATGTACCTAGAATCACTGCGTTCGCCCACAGTGCGTTTCCAGAGATCCCTTTTGTCACGTCTACTAGTGGCAGTGGTGGTAGAGCGTGAGTCTGCCCGGATAGGTACCACCACCATGTCTGTTTCTGCCGTGAAGCAGTAATGCGTTTTAGTTTAAAGGGTGGGGCAGCTGTTGTACTTTAAACTTAAGACTAGAACTCATGTCTCAAGGCTGACGGCATTTACCTTCATGTCTAAAGGCGCCAATTACTCACCCACCTCGGCCTCCCATCTCAGCAAATAATAAAATACGGCTTTGGAATGAACTCCCTTCCACGATGTTTGCTGAGCACTTTGACATATCCTTTATTAAATGAGTATTTCTTGAAGTAGACAGCAGCTTGGCTATGTGCTCGTCTGCATACAAAGACACGAAACAAAGTGTGTGTGTGTGCAAGTCACACACGGTAGAAGTGAAACTTATAAATAAGATATAGATATACTGACTGTCCCACTACACAGGAGCATACATATGGACAATGTTTAGTAGACCATAGTGGGGATGCTACGAAGAGTCACACAAAGAGGAGACCGAGAACGTCTAATGTGTTCTATCTCATTCTCTCGCCGGCTGAATCCTATACATTTATGTGTTTGTGTCTCTATGGACTTATTTTTTCGTTTCATCGAGTTTGAAATCACAACAATTCTAAAGAAGTTTCACTTCGAAAAAGATCAGTAAGGGTAATCAGGTTTGCCGCACGAACCAAATTAAAAAATTACGGAGGATTTCCGATCAGCAGATAACAAAGATACTTAAGTTACTTAAAGGAAGTTCTTGAGCGAACTTGTTCGAAAATATTTATATTTCGTCTTCATTATTCAAGAGTCTCGTCTTAAAGTCAAACTCAAAGCACCGAGACGTAACTTAATAATGCGAAAGGGTATTTATGACACGTCGCTCAGCGAGACTTGCTTCTCATATTACGTTAATCTTGTTTAAAGAACAACTATGTCTATCTTATATCTTTGCTTATTCCTCTCCCTGCAAGGTTGCCTGGAAGAGACCGCTTTCAGCGATAAGGCCGCCAATTTATGTCACTGTCTATTATTTGTTTTTTATGCTCACTCTGTACATGTGGTGTTCAATAAAGAGTTATATTATTATTATTATTATTGAGTTTTCTCTCGAGTTCTTGACTCGGTTTAGTTCCTAGCTCCCGCCCTGAAACCTTCAAGGAAGAGGAGGTTCGGACTCCCTTGAATTTATGAAAGCTGTATTACCCAAAACTTTACTTATTATTGTGCATGTGTGTATGGCTGCTTGTTTTTAGCGAGAGGGACATACAGTATCCCGCGATAAATATTGCACATCTACCGTGGGAAAGGGACGGTTAATTTTTGCTTCGTAGAACGCTATATCTGTCGCACATTACCTAATTGACATTTAGTCTCCACAGATACCGGATCTTTAGTGTTTCGTCCCATACAGGTAACGCTATACAACAAAAACACAATTAGACAACTGTCTCTTTCTAAATATCGATGTGCAATATTTATTGCCTGGTACTGTAGTTTCCTTTGTCCGCACCCGCTGGAAGTACCGCGGCAGGCCGATATGAGCGTGTTCCGCTGTGAAGGTGATAATAGAGATTGATAATGCGAAAGAAATTGAAGCCGTCGTGGCCTAAAGGATAAGACGTCGGGTGCATTCGTATCGAGCGATGCACCGGTGTTAGAATCCCGCAGGCGGGTACCAATTTTTCTAATGAAATACGTACTTACCAAATGTTCACGATTGATTTCCACGGTGAAGGAATAACATCGTGTAAGAAAAATCAAACCCGCAAAATTATAATTTGCGTAATTACTGGTGGTAGGACCTCTTGAGAGTCCGCACGGGTAGATACCACCTCCCTGCCTATTTCTGCCGTGAAGCAGTAATGCGTTTCGGTTTGAAGGGTAGGGCAGCCGTTGTGACTATACTGAGACCTTAGAACTTATATCTCAAGGTGTGTGGCGCATTTACGTTGTAGATGTCTATGGGCTCCAGTAACCACTTAACAGGTGGGCTGTGAGCTCGTCCACCCATCAAAGCAATAAAAACAAAAATGTTTATTTCGTAAGTTTCCCGGTAATATGGAAGATGTTTTCCAGGTACGCAGCGACGCACGCGCGTCCGACGTTCTGCAACGTTTGCAGGGAGCCACTCGGCGCCCTGGGGACCGCTCACGCGCTCGCCTGCGAGCTTTGCAAGTTTAAAGCGCACAAGAGATGCGCCTCCAGAGCGCCACCGTCCTGCAAGTGGAGCACGCTGGCGTCACTCGGCCCGCACCTCGTCGAAGACGCTGACGGGGTAAGCTTGAGATTTCTAAGTACCTCTTCTGCCCTTATTATGAAACATCCGGTCACCGTCCTTATGGAACCCGTCACTTGCGACGAAGGCCTCGACGAGCGAATGAACCCATAGATACAGCCCACTGAGTTTCTCGCCGGATCTTCTCAGTGGGTTGCGTTTCCGATCCGGTGGTAGATCCTGCGAAACACTGCCTTAGCTAGCTAGAGCCAGGGTTAAAAAAAAAAACACATGTCCCGGTAACGTCAACAAGAAGTTTGTATTGTAAATAACTGTTCAGGGCTTTTTTTTGCTACCTATGCTGAGAGCCTTGAGAGGCTATTTCAGCTTCACCCTAACATGTAGGTGAGCTCACGGAGCTCAAACCGGAGTGTTGATAACACTTGCCCTAGCAAGAGCAGTGCTTTACAGAATCTACCACCGGATCGAAACGCGACCCACTGAGAAGATCCGCCGAGGAACTCAATGGGCTTGTTCAGAGGTGATGAAAATGATCGGTATATAAAATGTTTTTAAATTTGCAATTATACAGGTACCATAAAATTAAACTGCATCATTCCATTTTCTTTAACGATCAATCGAAACGGGAACCAAGCAATCTCCATTCCAGTACTACGACTACGAAGACCATTAAATATATTGATACGTTTCAATTTAGTTGATTAATTCGCTGAGATGCAAAAGGTCTTGTCGAACGATTTATTGGCAAATCAAGATTTTCTCAGATAACATTCAACTAACAAATTACGTTTTGAATTTAATTGAATTAGCTAAATAATAGAAAAAACATTAAGTTTGCAAAAACATTATAGCATAATTATTACATTCTGGTTCGTTTTTGCCGCGAAGCAGTCAGTCATCCGGTCCAGTTCGAAGGATGGTACGGCCGTTATGCCATACTATTGAGATATCGACCTCACGGCCCAAGGCAGTATTCACGTCTAAGGACTCCAGCAATCACTTAACACGTGGTGAAGTCGAAGGATAAGACGTCCGGTGCATTCGTATCTAGCGATGCGCCGGTGTACGAATCCCGCAGGCGGGTACCAATTTTTATAATGAAATACGTACTTAACAAATGTTCACGATTGACTTCCACGATGAAGGAATAACATCGTGTAATAAAAATCAAACCCGCAAAATTATAATTTGCGTAATTACTGGTGGTAGGACCTCTTGTGAGTCCGGATCGGTAGGTACCACCGCCCCGCCTATTTCTGCCGTGAAGCAGTAATGCGTTTCAGTTTGAAGGGTGGGGCAGCCGTTGTAACTATACTATACTTAGAACTTATATCTCAAGGTGGGTGGCGCATTTACGTTGTAGATGTCTATAGGCTCCAGTAATCAGTTAACATCAGGTGGGCTGTGAGCTCGTCCACCCACCTAAGCAATAAAAATAAAATAAAAGTACTGGAACTGTACATATTATCCGGTAAAGCCGGTGAGCTACCAAACTATGCAAAAAAACCACGAGTTGATTGAACCAAAGCATTTCGGTCACCATTTTATAAATTTCTCTGCGATAAGATGATAGAAACGTGAACGATCAAAATTCCGACGCCTCCGGGACATTTCTGCACCGCGCGCCGCCCCTACAATGGAACGCGAGAATTCCTTAAGAGATTCCACAATTACTGCGAGCTGAAAGTGCTTTGTTTTAGCGTTCAAGTAAAATTGACCGGGTTATAACCGTTAGAAATTACACGAAATTGCTAAGAACGAGTCAACGGTTTTGTTCACGTGAATGCGGCAAAGTTAAATGCGGCTTTTTATGAAGGCGCTTTGCGTTTAGTTAGCGTTGATGAGCGATGAGCGAAAGCTCGCCGATCTAGATTAGTTACATATGCCCTTGAGATGTACAAGGTGGGCCAAAAGAAGTCATCCGATGTTGTTTGTCTCTAATTTTTTTTCTAAATGAAAATCTTTGATTCTGTTTTTTGATTATGTTTATTTGAACCTTTAGAATTTTATTGGTCAAGTCGAGAAAATAATATCGGCCAAATGGGCGCCGTCACAATTGATTGCCTTACGTTTTATGGCATTTTTCATCACTTTGGCAAGAACTTCGGGCGACAGATTCTCGCACTCGTGTCGAATGTTGTTCTTGAGGGTCTCGAGCTTGTTCACGTAAACCCGGGAATCGAGTGATCTTGCGGGTCAGTGCAAATCGCCAAAACGAGAGATGAGGCGACCCGGGAACGCCGCCTTTAGAATATCGGTTGTGGCTCGCGCAGTGTGTGCCATTGCTCCGTCCTCTTGGAACCACATGTCCTCCAGTCCTAATTGGCCCTATAGCACGCACCGTCCATTGCCAACGTTTGACCAGCAGCGCTCTCGAAAAAAATCCACGATGACTCCTCCAGCGTGAACAGCGCTCTATGCAGTCACTTTGAGCGGGTGTAATGGCTTCTCGTGCATAACTCGTGGATTTTCTGTGCCTCAGAAGCGATAGTTCTGCTTGTTTACGTGCCCGCTGAGGTGGAAATGAGCCTCATCGCTCAATATGATTTTGGTCGAAAAATCATTCACTTCGTCCTCGAGATTGAGGATGGCTTAGGCGTAGGTTACACGCATTTGGCGGTCGACAACCAGCAGCTGATGCCCGGACTGGACTTTGTACAGGAACATGCGCAAGTCTTTGACCAAAATTCGCCTTAGGGACGACCGGCTGATGGCTAATTGCGAAGCACGAATTGTTACGCAAAAAAATAGACACGATTATTCTGCGTTCTTGGGGAGTGTACCGCTCCATGGCTTGTTCACTTGTATTCTACACCTGTCTAGTCCACAAATATCAAAACAGATTTGACATTGGCGGCCATTTGCAAAAATAAGAGCATCTTCCAATAGGGTGATTTCTTTTGGCCCACCTTATATGAGTTTTAATTGCATTAATACAGCGTTTGCATTACTCTTAAAACTGGAAGGTATTATCCAATTGAAGCATAAATAGGCGGAGTGAGGACAGACATCGACTTTGCAACACGTCCTACCATATCAGTACTTACGATCAGAATTAGGGGTTTAAAAATTAGTTAATTCATCAGGTAGGAAAATAAATGAGGACACTACTACAATAGACTGAGTCGATGGTGCAGTAATTAGAGACCCTGTCTGTTGCGTCGCGGGTCGTGGATTCGATTACTATTATACATCAGGCAAACATTCTTGTGATGAACAGATTTGACTGCTCTTTGTCTGGATGTTTATTGTCTAATGATACTCTGTGTATCCGTATATCCGGTCTCTGTTTCCCATAGCACCGGGAATCCGAATTTGGGACCGGATAACCGTGGGCGACTTGTTCCCCTTTATGTATTTAATACAAAAATATATGGTGGATTTAGTGTCTTATCTATGTATTTATTTATTTATTTTGGTAATATAATTATAAGCTAGTGTTTATTTTCACTTCATGTCTACTAAAATTCTTTAAATTATCGCCATGTATTAACAGTATCATAGCTACGCACTTCTTGAATCTTTCACTTCATCAACGAGGGTTAACTGGAAGAGAATGTCTGCATGGCGTTAACTTTTAATGGCGTAATTTGCACAATGTTTTTGTGCAATAAAGAATTTTCAATCAAGCAATCAATAGAGTCGTAATCCGTGGTGCGGGGAATGGAGAGGACTAGACAGAACAAGCAGCCGGACATATTATTGTTACGCAGGTAAGAGTAACGCCATCTATCGCCGAATAGTCGAAAGGATCTAGTAGCGCCTAGAACGCTCGAGAAATACAATGCCATCTATTGAGAGATAGCGGAAACTACTACTAGAGATGTGTGGAATATTCTCGAAAATTCTAGGGATGTCATATCGACTATAAAAGCGTTGTAGAGATGGCACGCAGTCAGTCAGTAATCGGAGCTACTCGAAGCGAAACAGCGAACGGATCACCTGAAGCGAAGCGAAAGAAGCGAATTGAGAATTTTTAAGTGTTTGTTGAGTGCTTTGGGTGTTCTAAGTGTTAAATACAGTTTAAAGTTGTACTTTGGTGAAATTTTATTTATCCCGAACCCCAGCGCGTAACGTTATTATCGTTGAGGTCTTCTGAATTCAGACGAAGATCTAAAGAGATACCCTGCAAAAAGTGATTGGACATTTTTGTTACAGAGCATAATAATGCCGCACCAGTGGCTGGAGGGGAACCTACCGGTTGCTGCCAAATGTGATGTCTGTGATAAAACTTGCGGATCAGTGCTTAGGTAAATAAAAGCTCTGTTCCTAGTTCATTCTGTTTAGTAGAAATTACTTCTTTATCATCGTATCATCAGTTTTGTTGGATTAGACAGATGCTGTCTCAACAGAAAATAGTAATAACAACATAGTAGAAAAGACTTCTTTATCACTTCTTTTTTTACTGATAGTAGGACCTCTTGTGAGTCCGCACGGGTAGGTACCACCACCCTCCCTATTTCTGCCGTGAAGCAGTAATGCGTTTCGGTTTGATGGGTGGGGCAGCCGTTGTTACTATAATTGAGATCTTAGAACTTATATCTCAAGGTGACTAGCGATTAAATATTGTTGTTGATGTGTATGAGCTCCGACAACCGACTAACAACAGATGGGCCAGGCAATAAATAATAATTAAAAACTAATCAAATCTAATATTTTTTAAATAATTAAAACATGACGATTTGTTTATTTCGTACTTTTTTAGCAATCTCTCTTCAGTTTCGAAAGGATATACCGCATTTTTTCGTAAAATAGTGATGTTATCACATGACTTGCCAACTGCGATTTAAGTTCAGCAAATAAAAATCGGATATTAACTTTATTAACAAGGCCTGTGTCCTCAAATACTCTTCTCGTTCCGTATCGAGCTCACCGATTGTTACGGACGCTTTGAAATTGAATCTAGACTTCGGTTAGTCGATAGTCCGATTAATTTTAAGCCTGACCCGTGACCTGAATACAGCGGTATTGAAATAAGCTTTTGTTGTTTCAATTGTGTGAGATTAAAGTATGGAATCGGCTTAATCAAATTCGGAAAATTAATAACTGATACTGTACTGAACTGATATGAATATTTTTGATTTTTCTGTACAAAATTGTATCGTAATTTGTAAGATTGGCTTGTTTTATAACTTTGTCATTTCAACATTTGTCTTTGAAGTGGATTGCAGTCATAACTCAGGGTTTTTATTAGAATTTCTCGAACACTACGATCATGCCTACAAAAACAAATTCCATGCGTGGGAAAAGAAGCACAGGCCTCATTATAAAATAAATATTGTGTGTTTAAGGTCGTTTAGTTATTGACGACTCTCTCGGGCTCAAGGACGTTTCTCAAAACGTAATCCTTTTTAAGAAAGAATGCATATCCTGTGTGCTTGGTTAAATGTAAACTGATGGTATTTTTCATTATTCACAATTAACCTATCCATAACTTCCAACAAATATAACAACATGCGTTTTTATTAAAATAAGGTCACGTCTTTATCGACCATCCGTGTGACTTTGTGTAATTTAGTCTTGGGATCGGCTGCCGATCAGTGTGTAATAATAAATGTATTTTTTTTTTTATTTCCAAAATACAATTTACCATTAACGACACGACAGAATCAATCTACCCAAATAAATGTATTTTTTGCAAAACTTTCCAAAATACAATTTACCATTTACGACACGACAGAATCAATCGACCCAAATCTAAAACGGAACTCTGAAGTCTGTCTCGACATAATCTCGTAGCCAATATCCGTCAATTTCTCGAACGCTCTGCGGGTAAGGCAACTGGGTAACAACGAGACGTCAGGGCTGTGTCAACTCTTAGTTACATTCATTAAGATAGCCGTTAACTGTGTATCATGTTTTGTCTGCTGTTAGACCAAGAAAGAAATGATCTGTTTTGAGATATCTGAATTGAATTGGATTCAATGTGAAAATTAGAAGAGGTAAAACGTGAGAAAGAAACTTTAATAGATTTTAATCGATTTGATTTTGATCGATAAGATTGTTTCTTTTTCTAGCCAAAAGTTAATCACAGGGATTCCAATTACATATATTCGTTCTGATGAATGTGTGCATCGAATTGAGTGATTTAAATATATTAATAAATATCTAGATCTATGTTAACATTGAACCACAAAGTCGACTATGAATGAACGAAAAGAATTCTTTAGAACTACAATATTCTTCACGGATAATGTTCCTACTGGAATAGCACTAGTAATGTTTGTAATACAACCTTATTCTCATTTAAGAGATTCTAGTTTGTCTTAGTGTTGTGATCTGTTAAAAGATATTTTGATGAATTCTGGCCCGAGGTCTGGACTACCCCGCCTGTGATATTCCATGAAATGCACAGATAACTAAAATTGAAGGCAGCATGACAAAACAAACAAACACAGATAAAACATTTGGTACCGTTGGAAAAATAGAAAATTTTCAGAAAGAAAATGTCGTGAAAATGTCGTGATGCTCCCTATTTTTTTAGTAACATCAACGTTCAAAAGCGCTAATACAAGTTCCAACAGCACCTGCTATTCCTGCCAAGCAAATCGAAACATTCATAATTAACCTATCTTCTTCTTCTCTATATATAAAAATGAATTGCTGTTCGTTAGTCTCGCTAAAACTCGAGAGCGGCTGGACCGATTTGGCTAATTTTGGTCTTGAATTATTTGTGGAAGTTCAGAGAAGGTTTAAAAGGTAGATAAATATGAAAACGCTCGGAATTCAATAAAAATAATAATTTTGTTTTCCCTTTGATGTGTCCCCCGTCGGACGGATTCCTTTTGTTTGTTTTAAGTTTATTTTATACAAAAGTTTAGGTCTTTTATTTATCGATTGAGGCACTACGAAGACTGCCGGGTCAGCTAGTTCTAATTATTTCTTCAAGTGTACGTATGAAAAATTATTACATACATGTCTCAAGGCTATTTCTATTAATTAAAAAAAGTACAATGGATACATTTTTAATTTTTTACAACACACCAACCCTGTGACTTATTTCTTTATCCGATTCCCGGGAGATCAGCGGATCCGGCCTCGGATATCGGCAACTTGTCCTCCGAGCTAACTTGCCTCGACTACTTCACTATAACTGCATTAGAGCAGCCGATATTAAGCTGTTCGTATCGCTTAACCTTTGGGCGTAATTTTTGAAAATGTTTTTGAAATTTTGTTTATTCCGCTGATAATTTTTATTAGCTCCCCCCCCCCTTTTGTCCGATTCAGAACATCATCCAGTTTGAAATCATTCAAACTTCAGGTTAAGTAGGTACTTGCTTTGTGCTTATAGAATCAAAACATACTAGAACGATAATTTATTATGAATATTTATATCGAGGGCTATTTGGCTATAAAGGGCTATTAAGGCTATTTAGTTAAGCGACATTTTTGCAACTTTACAGGAGAGCCATTTAGAGTTTAAAATTTTAAAAAATTATCATAAAAAAAAACTTCTTGACCTATTTGAATCAAATAAATTTAATTGAAGTTAAATTAAAAACATCCAATACCTAATAAACACACCACCTTTGATTACAAATATAAATGTCGCGTATTAAGCGAAATGTCGCTTAAACTAAAGATCCTTTCACTCATCAATATGTAGATTGGTAAATCAGCTTGCGTTCAACTGGTACCGAGTGGTTGCTAAAGCTCATAGACCCCAACGCACCCCCCCCACCTAATGACTCAAATATTCTACATTAAAAATAACAAATAAACCAGTTTTAAGGTTTATTGACGTGACAACGTCCTATAATTCGACGGAGCCGGCTGCACGCACGAAAAAACGTGACTCATGCGGCGTTACCTCGCTCTGAGGCGACTTGAGTGAGCGATGCATCCGCGTGGACAGCTGCTATACAATAATACATTTACATGTTTTCGTCTAGTATGAAGTTCAGTGAAAAGTGAATGTGTGTCAATTGTTTATAGCAACGATGATTGCGATAATTGAAAAATGAAACCATTCCATCAGTAATTTCTTATGACGTTGTCACGTTCAACTATCGTCAGTAAACCAACTTTACAGACAACCGGTTTTTTTGGCTTGGAACTTAGGCTTCAAGACTTCAGATGCGTCTGGTGCCGGAAATGTGTCCACGCTGCCTGCAAGCCTGGCTGGAGAGCGCCCTGTGCCCTGGGACCAGCGAGAGCGTCAGTGGTACCACCGACTCGTCTGCATTCGGTCGGACCTGACGACGCATGGGTACCGGATCGTCCGCCTAACGCCTCGCCGCTCATTGTATTCGTTAATTCTAGATCAGGTAAGAATCGTAACTTTGGGAGGCTTAAACGACAAAGGGAAGATCTTCCACCGAGTGGGTGATATTGCTCGGTAGACCGACGGTCCGAATGTTGTTGTTCGGAACTTGTATATATGCAAGCTTATCTTGAAAATGTCGTAAGCGAGATTCAGGCATCTATCAAATATCTTGCGTTGTATGATGGCTACCCGCCACATAACTTTTGTATTACCCGATAATGGGTTTTTAAGGTTGCGCATGGACGTCAGCTATGCCAGGGGCGTAACCAGTCACTGCCTACAGCTAAATAGTCCTAAACATCTTTGTAGAGATAATTTCTGAACACCTTATGATAGATAAGGAGACGAGTTCTTTCCAGAGCCGGACTGTTGGTATTTTTATGGCTCTCAATTGGTGAACAACCTTACGGCCTTACCAAGCTTAAATTGCTACCGGAACCGCTAGACATCACAACCTATATGCTGCAACGTCGTGAGACTTTGTCGAAATCTCGATTCGATTGCATAATTACCTCATGCCAAAAATAAGCATAAGGTTACACCGGTAACACCATCTATCGCCGAATAGCCGAACGAATATCGAGAGATCTAGTAGCATCTAGAGCGCTCGAGCAGTGCAACGCCATCTATTGCCATATAGATAGATAGACACACAATACTCGACTTTTGTGGAATATTCTCGATAAGAAGATCGGAAGAAGTGAATTGAGAATTTTAAAGTGTTTGTTTAGTGTTCTAAGTGATAAATACAGTTTTAAGTTATGCTTTGTTAGAATTTAATTTATCCCGAACCCCAGCGCGTAACAATAATTACTAGAGATGAAATGGATAGTGGTTTAGCCGGATACCGGATACCGAATATTCGGCAAGCTGCAAGGCCGGAGCGCCGGATATTCGGCCCTTTCGGAAATATTCGTGCGCGTTCGGGTGTTGTCGCACGTGAACGGAGATCGCGACGACGATTGGTATTCATTCAACACAATTTGCCACTTGTTGATTTTGAGTTCTAAACAAACTAATTATAATTAATCAAACAATCACTTTTGACGTGCGATTATAAAAATAAAAGTTGTCCATAAACTGTTGTGGTATTATTTGCCTTTTGTATAACCATGAGATTTTCTTAAATTTTACTATTCGAAATCCGTCCGGATACTGGTTTACTATCCGGTATCCGGTCGGATAGTGAAAACATGGCCGGATAGGCCGGATACCGGATAGTTACCGGATATCTGTTTCATCTCTAATAATTACGCCTGTGACTGTTATACATGTGAAGCCTTTAAAAATAAGCGAACTTTTCCGTACAGGCGACAACCAGGGCGTGAAATTCCTGCGTCGTTTCAAGCAGCTACTGAACCCAGCGCAGGTCTTTGAACTGAGCGGCGCCGGTCCCAGAATGGGGCTCAGGCTGTTCAGGCATTTCGCTCCGATCAGGGTGCTCGTGTGTTCTGGTGACGGCTCAGTGGGCTGGGTACTCCAGGAAGTTGACAAGCTTGAGATGCACGTGAGTGATACATTTTTATTTAAAGTTATGTAATGTAACGTCAAGACCCGTCTATCTACAATCTGTATGCAGCGTCTCCTCAAGTACTTCGGACACGCGGCCCGACGAAATCCTGACAACTTGGAAAAATTAATAGTTGTAGGTCACGTAGAAGACAAGAAAAGTCGAGGAAGATTGCCAACCAGGTGGACGGAAATTGTCAAGGAGGCCACAAGCACCAGCGTCCCGGGCGCCATCAAGCAGGCCGAATGCAGGCAACATTGGAGGAAGCTAGTGCAAAAAGTGGACCAAGGTGGTCACGACCCTCAGTATTGAGAAAGCGACGAAGAAGAAGAAGAATGTGACGTAATAGGTGACGCGCCCTAAGTGCAGAAATCCCCTTTATAACACGGGTATTCCTCCATATAATGCGTATGTAAAATGTTTAATGAATTGTACAGTTCATAATTAATTTCGCGTACCTTTGCAGATTGTGTCAATTGTGTTGTTATAAAATAAAATAAAATTGAATTATTAAATTTGCGTTTCTAATTTTTTAATTGTAAAAACATTGGTTTTATTGTATTATATTTTGTATATAACGCGTTATATGGGATCGTACAAGCGCGTTATGCGAGAATACTCCTTCAACGAATTTCCTATAACGCGGAACCAATCTACCGTGTTATGGGGGAATTACGATACTCGAGTGATGCGAGTGATGGGACTATAAGTGCTCAACTACAGGGTAATCGATTCTCATTATTCGAAAAGGGCTTCAACGTTTTCATCTGTCAGTGATTTTTCGTATCGAGTGATGGGAGTGATGAGACTATCAGTGCTCAACTACAGGGTGTTCTGATGAAATCAATATTCATTATTCGAACTGGATTTAATGTTTTCATCTGTCAATGACTTTTCGTTATGAGTGATGCGAATGATGGGATTATCAGTGTTCAACTACAGGGTGTTCTGATGAAATCGATATTCATTATTCGTAACTAACTGGGTTTAATATTTTTATCTGTCAATGAATTTTCAACTACAGGGTGTTCTGATGAAATAAATTCTCATTATTCGTAACTGGATTGAATATTTTCATCTGTCAATGTTTACCCAACAGAAACAAGTTCAAACTGCGGTTCTGCCCCTGGGCACTGGCAATGACCTAGCTCGGGTCCTCGGCTGGGGCGCCTCGTGCGATGACGCCGCCAACCTGCAGCAGCTCATCGAGAGATACGAACGCGCGTCCACTAAAATGCTGGATAGGTACGACTGTTTTTTTGTTGTTTTTTAATGGTTTAAATAGGTGAGCGACTTTTGACGTCTAGGTATGGGTTGCAGCAGTGGTGTAGCGTGGTAGGGGCGCGGGGAGCGTCCCGCCCCGGGCGGCACTTTTTAGGGGGCGGCAAAATTTCACAATAAATAATAAAAATATTTGAACCATTTCATATTTTTATCGCAACTACAAATTTGATTGAACTCGCAACACCGTCTATACTGACTCGCGGGGATTCTCCATATTTTTAGTAAGGAATGTGTGAAGTGATGCTTTGACAATACAAAGAAAGTTTTATTGATGGATTGTCAGTTGTCCATTTCACATTGACGTAACGTGGCTGCCATAAGTGGTTAAAGTAGAATATATTTTGTATTAATAAACGCGATTGTAACACTTAGATAAACTTTTTTATTTAAAATATTACCTGTCGATATAATGAAAAATAATGATGGCCGCTCTTGCCAAAAAAAAATCTAGAATTAATGTATAGTATACATCAAAGTGAAATAACTGAATAAAAGTGCGGCAAAATTGGCTTCCGTCCCGGGCGGATAGGCTGACACCCACGCTACGTCACTGGGTTGCGGTAGCCATTTAGTGACGAGCGAAGCGTGCGTGTGAGCACCTGTATTCTCCATCGATCAACAGTTACAGTTACAGTATACAGTTCATCCAAAGAATGATGAATGTTTCTATTTGCGGTTGTTGCTGGTAAATGTGCGTGCGCCAATGACATTTGAGTTACTACAGACTGTTAATGCTACAGTATTCCCAAGATATCTAAATTTACTAGAAAACGATACCCACTGGGAAATGACAATCGTTAAAGCAATTATCTCTGCATCTCCAAGTCAAATACGGTTCGAAGATATTCTCATTATCTTTTTTTTATTTATGTAAAAAATGTGTAGTAAAAATCAAACCCGCAAAATTATAATTTGCGTAATTACTGGTGGTAGGACCTTTTGTGAGTCCGCACGAGTAGGTACCACCACCCCGCCTATTTCTGCCGTAAAACAGTAATGCGTTTCGGTTTGAAGGGTGTGGCAACCGCTTTAACTATACTGAGACCTTAGAACTTATACCTCAAGGTAGGTGGCGGCATTAATGTTTTAGATGTCTATGGGCTCCGGTAGCCGCTTAACACCATGTGGGCTGTGAGCTCGTCCACCCAACTAAGCAATAAAAAAAATTATAAACTCCCATAATAATATGATAGACCATGAGTTTCCGTCATCATCGACCCATGCTAGACATAGGCCTCCCTCAAGGTTCGTCACAATGACCAGTACTATAGTGCCCGCATCCAAGGAATTGTCACGACCTGCCCATGTCTACTACTACCTTAGCTTCATCAAGCAATGTCCCTTGCCTATTGCTAATTCAACCTGGACCAGATCTGACGGACTCCATCGTTGACAAGAATAACTTTCTCATTACTGTAATCCATTGTACAGGTGGTCGATAATGACATTCGAGCGTTCATTATCAGCGCCGCCTCCTCCACCAGTACCACCGGACCTGCTGGAGGAATCCGCGCTCCTAAAGAACTTGCACGACATCATGCAGGTAAATGAATTGTTTCATTCTAATTAAAGTATGTAACTCGCCTATTCTAATTCAATAGATATATAGAAAATGTTTATTGCACAAAAAAATACACACAGATAACAACGAACTCTGGTGTTTCGAATAATAATAATAATATTTTCAATGATTTCACCTGAATTATTAATGTGATAAATTAATTTAATTGGTCTACTCTAGAATTCTTTTATAGATTTGCGGCATAAGCTTATATCCTACATGAAATTGTAATTATCTCATGCATGAGGTACATAGGACTACTTAAAATTATATGCGCCGTGTGCCGGTCTATCAAGCAATAAAAACATAGGCTGCATTTAGTGCTTTCTCTTACAAAGTACATACTACAGTACCGGCCCATAAATATTTCACTTCGGCCTTGGAAAGAGACAATCGGCTAATTTCGGCTTCGTAGAGCCTTGTCTCTGTCGCACACTAAATATGTAATGTTTCTCAGTCGTTGTTCAAATGCGTTAGTGTCTTGGTGTTAGAAACTGGACTATTAGTGTTATATGCGGCAGACATAACTTTTAGATTGGCCCTATATTAATTGAATTATTATGAAACCCGGTTTAAGAGTTTGGTTTCTAAACCCAAAAAACGATGTGGGAAATTGAATTTAATTAATGTTTTTAATACGAAAGTCATTTTTGAAGTAATTACTTCTTATAAATCGATAAAGGACCGGCTGCACGCACGAAAAAGTGTCACGTTCCGCCTGACCCTGAGTGTGCAAGCGAGAGCGCGGAACGCGGCGGTAGAGATGCACGATCGACAAGCAACAAGCGGTGGCTTGTGACCCATTTATCGCTCTTTTCTCGTGACGTCAGAGCTAGAAGTTCTAATAGTTCTGCTACTGACGTTATCACATAAAACTAACGTCCTTAAACCAACAGACAACCATTTTGAAGTGAAACTTCTAATGGGACTTCCAACAAGATTGCGTTAAACGTTTAACGCTACCATACAGAGCGAGAGTGAATACGTAGCACTCCAACGCATGCGCGTAGTATAGATATCGCATCTCTTATACACAGCATTCCTTATTACAAGAGCAATCTGATTTAAGGATGAAAAATGAAGAAAACCACAGTACTACACATCGAAAAAAAAGTTTCACTTCATTCCCGTGCACCAAGTTTTTTTTTATAATGATACTAACTTTTGCCCGCGTGGAATAGTTACTTTGGCATAACGCTAAATTTTACCCCCACTTCATTTACGTAGAAAGTGAAAATATTTTTGAATTATATAATGTTAAGGAGCTATTTAAACCCCTATTTTGAAACATTATTTATTGCTGCTCCACTTGTATTGGTCTTACCGTGATGTTATATAGCCTTCCTCAATAAATGGGCTATCTAACACAAAGAATTTTTCAAATCAGACCAGTTAGTTCCTGACATTAGCGCGCTCAAACAAACAAACTCTTCAGCTTTATAATATTAGTATAGATTATTTTATCAGGGTATAATCATTGTTAACGTAGCCAGGTGAAGTGAGTTGCCTGGCGAGCTCGTCCCTACGGGCGGGGTGCGTGCGGCTGGCGGCGGCCGGGGAGAGGGCGGGGGGAGGCGCGGCGCGGGCGGCGCACCGCCTCAAGCGTGCCGTCTCGCTCCTACTCCACGCGCGGGCGCATCTAGCTCACGACCACGGACGATGCAAGTTAGTGTTGCCAGTGTTGCGTTACGTAATCATTTAGGCAGAGTCCGATAATTTATTACCTCATTAAAACACAACTATAAATGTCGGTAATGAAGGAAAATATAAAATTAAAATTTATCGAAAAGAAAATTTATTTTTATTTCCATGGTAAACTCAAAGCGTTCGGTGATGAAATCAGTTCTCGAATACATCACATCTTACAAGTATCAGCTGATCCGTGATCAAGAAAACATTAGAAACTTCGGAAATAATGTTATGACAATAAAAAACGCGAAATTAAACTATTAAAAACAGTTTTGATTTTGTCTAAGACTCGCATAAACCGAAGAAAACATGTTTATTAAATCTCGGAATAACGAATTGAGTTTCATTATTTCTTGATTACATGTTCTCTTGATTCACATTGTCAAATGAGCACTTATTGGCTTATATTTGGCTATAACAATCTCAGGTACATTCAGTTATATTTTAGGTTATGGGAGCCCTTGGAGACGACAAGCGACAGCGAACCTGAGACCCAACCGCTCGCCGAAAAGGGCAGCATTGATAAGACTGAAAAAGTAAGTTGTTTTATGAATGAATCCTCACCGCGAGCGTTCTTCAGCGAGCAATGTATAACGAACATTTGTGAAAAAAGCCATATCATCTCATCTCATTTAATTTAATTCCATCCCAGTTGATTAATGTTTCAAATTAATCATCTTCATTTCATTTCACTCCATATTATCATTTTTCATAAAAATAAAAATATAAATTATAATAAGACACGATGACCTAAAGGTCTTAGTTACTAGGTCATAAAATCCGTTAAAAAATATATTTGACTCCAAGCCGAGCTCCGCTCAGAGAATTGCCCATATCCAGAATTAAATGTATAGAAAAATGAACAGGCAGGTCTCTTCGACAAATAACTTCGTAAAGTACAAACACTCTGAAGCTTGGCTCTACACCGGTGTTTCCCAACATGGGGCCCACGCCCAACAAGGTGGCAATTTAATTATTAAGGGGGGCAATCGCACTAAATTAATACCTATAGAAATTCTGTATTAAAATTATTTTGAATTTGATATTTCAGTTTTTTATTATATGTTTTCAGATATTACTTACTGTGTTCTGATAACAATTCCATAGTGATTTCTTCCTAAAACCTATCATTTATGTTTCTTAAGTGAACAAATCAATTTGTTATGTTAAAAATTATAGGGGACATAAAAAATTGTAGAAATGTTACAGTGGGGCATGACACAAAACAGGTTGGGAAACACTGTTCTTCTACACAGTTTCGATTCGAAAGAGCACGCGCGCGAAAATTTGAAGCGAGTTAATCGTATTCCATTAAACTCCTGTAGTTTCCACATTAAAGTATCAGCTTACAACGCCAGAGCTGTTTGTGTTTTAGAGTAGAAACTTCATTCGGCATACAAATTACTTTAAATTTAATGCTCCAATCTGAAAGTTTAGTCTTAAATGAGTAACCTTAATTGTAAGTGTTTCTGAATTTCGGTCGGTGAGTGGGGGTAGGAGTAACAGCGATCGCTGGAGCAGACAGGTTCTTGAGTGGAGAACGCCCTCCGGCCATTTGACCATTTGGTGCAATGATTTGCCAAGAGTGGCCGGTAAGAAATGGATCAAGAGAGCCGAAGATTGGGCTCAGAACAAATTAGTATAGACCTATAGGTCTAGCAGTGCACAACTGTAGGCTGGTGATAAGGATGAATTTGTTGTGTGTATGTGTGTATGTGTATTTGTGTGTGTTTTTTTTCCTATCTAAGCCTTGAGAGGCTATGTCAGCGTAACCTAACAAGTAGGTGAGCTCACGGGTCTCAAGCCTGACGACGTTGCTAACACTAATCCTAGTAAGAGCAGTGCTTCGCAGAATCTACCACCGGATCGGAAACGCGACCCACTGAGAAGATCCGGCGAGAAACTCGGTGGGCTGTGTCTGTGGGTTAATTTACTCGCCGAGCCCTTCGTCGCAAGCGACGGGTTCGACAAGAACGATGACCGGTGCTTGAGGTTAAAGCACCGTTAGTGGATCGGGAGGATCTGGAATGACGTGTTTAGGGTGACGTCAACTGTTTATCATTCGGTCCGCAGGATCTGGAATAGATTTGTTGTGTATGGGGTTTTTGAGCAAAAGTCAAATTGGGATTGCGGTTTGTGTAGAATAGCCACAATAGAACGAATCCTGTTTGACAACAGGAGCAGTTGAACTGGGCCGCGCGTGGGTGTGCACTGGCGGGTCGCGCGGACAGTGTGCGGAAGGCGTTGCGGTCACTGGTGAGGACCCTGTCCCTAATATATCCCCAGGTTTGTTTAAAATTGTCATTCCTCGGATTTATGACTATAGAATTGGGTATATTTGCCACATAAAATTAAATTGTTCCACTGTTGCACTTTAATCTTCTTTTCCAAAATCGTCTTTATTATAATAATTAAAAATTAATTGACACCTTATTTAAGCCTTGCTCATTTCAAACGTCTTCGCAATCTTTTTTTTCTCTGTAATTCTGTCTATCATTCTCTTTTCCCTTTCTTACCGTTTTCTCTCGCTCAAATCTTAACGCTCCGTTCCACAATCTTTTCATACGTTCCGTTCTTAGTAATCCTACATTACTGTACAATGCCCTTCTTCGTAATTCAAAAGGCAATCGTCATAGAAATAATTATCTTCAGGATTAAATCTTATCTTACTCCAGTTACTGGTGATGGGACATATTAAAGGCCGGCACAGGTTGGTACTGTGACCCTGCCTATTTCTGCCACGAAATAACCGTGCGATCCGTAAGGCTAGTGGTTCCTGTCACCTTATGATAATGGGCTTCGTCAACCACTTAAACTACGGACGGACTATAATCGTTTCCGCGTATTTTGTTATTTGTAAGCTGGCAGCTATTTATATACTAATGAAATGCTAATAGTATCCTGTCTGGAGTGGAAACGAGAGATTCTTTTGCCGCAATCACTGACAGAACGATAGAACCGACCCGCGCAAAGTGCCCTACAAACAGTTTACCTTTTATTACCATATTCACGATGCGTTGCTTCACGGAAGGATAGGTGATTGTGTAATGCTCTTAGATTAGACTTTTATGTCCACAAAGAAAGAGTAAGAATTGGGGCGTCTTTGGTTGACCAGGGCGTTGGACCACCTGAGGCGGACTCCTGTGATACGTGCGAGAGTTCGTCGGGCGCGACGGGTATGGCTGCGGTAGAGGCGGCCGCGGCGGTCCCGGCGGACATCCCGGTGGCGTCACTGTCATTGCCAGTGCCACGCGCCTTCGCCGACTCTCGCCGTTCATCTGCCGCTTCGGCTATATCTGCCGCTTCTATGCAACCTGACAAGTATTGTTGTCTATTAACTCGTTGACTATTTCAATCGAATTTACGTCACGGGAAATAAATAAAACCCTACTTCTCTTTCAGCATTCCAGACGTAGATGAAGACATAGTAAAATTAATAAGCTCAAATCCATCAGATTCATTCAATTTGGAAGTTGAGAAACCGGACCGTAATAAAACCAGCTCCGCTTCACCCCAGGATCTGCTGTCGCTGTCTAACCTCTCCTCATGCGACACCAGCTCGTGTCGGAACCTCTTCCGGCCAGACGATCGTACGTTTGACAACAGCAGCCTCACGATACCCAATCTAGTGATTTCCGATGACAGTGATAAACGAGATTCGATCATACAAGGAGACACATATGAATCGGAACAATTGACCATCATAGACATTGATAAGCCGTACACAGACGAGATACATTTTCAAGAGCTGAGCGCCCGAGTGAGTCCCGCCAGCGGCGAGTGCTCTCCCGACAGGCGCCTCTCTAGTGTCGACCTCGAAATAGAAGGGAGCAGCTCCGAAGGATCCAACATCAGTGATGACTTCAGCTTAATGTCCGAGATTATAGACATAAAGCCGGGCGATATAGACGAAGCCGGATGCATAGGACATATCGACTCGCCTGAAGCATCCGAAACCACATATGTCAACTCGGAGACGCTACACGGAGAATCTATCATGGACGACATCAGTTCGATGCTGGGACAAGAAGTGCTAATGGCTATGATGGGAAAGAACGGTGACAATGAAACGTATACAGACGATACAACCCTTTTCACTTCAGACACCGTCTCTGACATAGTTATGGACAGCAGAAACCCCAGCCTCGAGAAGAATGAAGGCAAAAACAAATACATATCTAAAATAAAGAAGAAAGAGGGAGAAGTAGAGAAATTCGGCTTCGAAAATAGAGTATTCTACATTGAAAACGTTGCGAAAGTAGAAGATCAAATCAAGTACTGCAGCTTGGCGCAGTTTGAAGAGGGCAGCGATATAGCCAGGAAGTCATTCAAGAAACAACTCAGGAAGAGCTTAAAAAAGCGCGCGCCTGATGATTCGAGCCTCAAAGGCTTGTTTCCGAAAACGGCCGAAGAGAATCTCAGGGTCGACGACACTCCTAAACTTGAACCGAAAAAGGAGAAGGCCAGTTTGGATATACCATCCTTTCCCCAAGTCAGCGTAGTCGTGGAACCTCCGTCGCCTTCGCACAGTGAAGACAAGAAAAGCATCAAGACATGCGTCAGTCGGATGGCATCGGTTTTGAGCGACATTTTCGACCAAGCTACCGACACTTTAAGCGTGAATTCGCCTGAGCCTAGCATAGGAGTCGCGCGGGAAAGGAGACAGTCCGACAACCCGAAATTACTCAGCTCGGATCCGGAGTATGGAAAATTCTTAAGCTGTTCACCGGCAGCTACCAGACGGATATCCTGCGGGAGTCTCTACAAGCCAGGGGAACCGGACAAGTGAGTCCAACATTTCAATACATCTTTCAATAGAAGCAAGTACGCTAAACCGTCTTACCTGGTGACAGTATGTCCAAACCATTTCAATTCTAAAGGTGCGTTAAGCTATAATTAATTGGCTACATAAAATAATGCTCTGTCGTACTCCTAAAAAATTTATACACGAATACACATTTGTGAAATAAAATTTTAAGCACTCTGTTATCTAGTCTCCATGTCGCAGATGATCGCACTTCCGATCAAATCGTAATTGTTTAGCGTCGCCCATGCACGCCGATAATACCGGGGCCATTGTTACCTTTATAGTTACCTTTATTTTTATTGCTTAGATGGCTGGATGAGCTCACGGCCCACTTGGTGTTGAATGGTTCCGGAGCCCGTAGACATACAACGTAAATGCCGCCATCCACCTTGAGACATGTGTTCTAAGGTCTCAACTTTTAAAAGTACAACACCTGCCCCACCCTGCCTGCCCTGTCAAACTACAACACATTACTGCTTCAAGGCAGGAATAGGCAGGGTAATGGTACCTACCCGTACGGACTCACAAGACGTCCTAACACCTGTAAAATCTACTTAAAAAGTACCCACTATTTTGTCGTGAAATCATGTGCTTGTGAAACATTTTTATATTTGAACAACGAGCAATAAACATATCAATATAATCCTCAAAGAACATGAAATGGTAGACTCAACGAGATTGTGCAAGCTATAAGTCGCTTTCTTAATAAAAATGTCAAGATAAAGAGCATTCCGCCAACCGGAATGGTTCGATATTTCGATTCAAAGCGACTAGAGCGAGGATTTCAAAACAGATCGTAACTCTTTTTGAAGTACGACTCTATGTTTTAATACAGCCACAGTAAAAGTGAAATATTTTCTTTAGGATTTATTTTTCTTTTCATAATGTTTTTATGTAATAGAGGAATTAAGTAGGATTTGACATGACATAATTGAAAGTGACCGGACGATCTCAAATCTACTTAGCTTACTTAAATAATTAACGAAGCCCATGGACAGGTGACAATCGGTACGAACTTTGACACATGACAAACTGTCAATTGTTAAGCACGTATTTCATCAGAAAAAGTGATAGCTGCCTGCGGGGTTTGGACACCGGTACAGTTGTATCGCGTGATACAAATGCAATGGCCACCTTGTCTCGCAGGCCAAGACGACTTAAATTGTTTTGTGATAGTGCTTGCCCTCCCTACCTTTCAAATGGGAAGCCATGATTGCTTCGTTGTAGAAATATTCAGGACTGTAATGCTGTCGATAATCCTCAATGCCTAAATGGAGGGTCGTGACCTTTCTGGATAACCTTCTCTCAGACTATCTTGCGCCAGCTCAGTCTATCCTCGGCTGTACGGATGTCATCGCGCTCTGACATGTTGAGGGTAGAGAGAATAAATATGCTAAGCATACGGCCTATAAAATGTTTTTTTTTTATAATATACCTAGTCAGGTCATAAATTCTGTCACATGTTTAATGTAAAATAATTGAAACAAGTTTATTCATTATGTAACCATTCATATACCAAAATGAACTTAACAAAACATAGATTCTTATGACACTAAAGTTTATTCAAAATGACCTCCGTGATTTTGAATACAAGCCTTCAAGCTGCGCGGCCAGTCGTCTATCGCAGCACGAACGAGGTCCATGTCAATATCGGCGACTGCCTTAATCAAGAATGTCTTGAGTGACTCCAAATTGGGATGAGGCTTTGAGCACGCCTTTTCCTCCAAGTGTTGCCATATCTTGTAATCTAACGGATTCAAATCTGGACTGGAGGAGGGCCAGTCTTCGTGCCGGATGAAGTCGATTTCACGCGCCGCCAGCCAGTCTTGTGTGCTCTTCGCTCTATGAGCTGGCGCCAAATCTTGATGGAATACCCAGTGCCTGTTATTGAACATGGTATGAGAAACAGGTTCCACAAGGTTCGTCAGGACTGTATTTTGATACACAACTGCATTCGTTTTTACACCTTTCTCACAAAAATGTACCTCTGTTAAGCCCCAATAAGAAACTCCCAACCATACCATGAGCGAGGATGGAAAATGACCTCGTTGGACACGCGGAATACGGTTGCTCGCTTCTTCACTACTGTGTGCGTACACCTTATCATTTTGTTTGTTGTAGCTCTCTTCTACGGTAAAAATTTTTTCATCCGAAAAAAGAATTTCCCGATATTTTTTTCCCGCGTACCGCTTCAACAAAGCGCGGCATCTCTTCAGTCTCAGGTCCATTAGACGAGCATTCAAACGATGTCCTGTTTTTCTTCGATATGCCCGAAGCCCTAAGTCTTCATTTAACACCCTTTTCACCGTGGTTCTGCTTAACCCCATCTGAAGGGCCAACAGTTTCTGCTTACGTTTGGGATTTCTTTGAATTCGCGCCTTCACAGCTTTTATCACTGCTGGAGTCCTAACAGACCGAGGGCGACCACTTCTTGACCTGTCATCTACACTAGAGTCTTCATTGTATCGTTTGATGGTACGATAAACGAATCTTTTGGTTATATTCAAATTTTTCAGTATGTTAAAAATTTGAATTGGCGCGTAACCGCAACGATGCAACGCAGTAACTCCAACACGGTCTTCTTTAAGCGTCCACTCCATATTTAAAAATGAGTAAAATTCTATACAGTATACATTTTTATTTTCATGAACGATTCGAAATTCGAATTCAATAAACTTTTTTGTGGCCAGCATTCTAAAAGAAAAGTTTTTACTGTGTGACAATACTTATGACCTGACTAGGTATATCTCATGCGGACGGCTAGATCAAAATGATCTAACTCTAAAATTGGTTAAAACGATTTTAAGGAATAACGATCCTTAGAAAAATAATGTTATTATCTAAGGCTTCAAACAACTTATTTGGGCTAAATATCAAAATTCTGCGTAGGGAGAGATCTTTATAAAATCTCCATTTTAGCGCTTTTCTCATTGTTCTTTTATAGTTAAGTATAAATTTATCGAAATAGGTTCTGCGGCGAAGTGGATGTTATCGTAATGATCTTGAACTATTATAATTCCTAAAGTTTAAGGCATCATTATGCTACTTAAAGTTCGCTAAACTGAAAAAATAAAATATACCTACGTGTATTTTTGTTTTTTATTGCTTAGATGGGTGGACGAGCTCACAGCCCACCTGGTGTTAAGTGGTTACTGGAGCCCATAGACATCTAGAACGTAAATGCGCCACCCACCTTGAGATATAACTTCTAAGGTCTCAAGTATAGTTACAACGGCTGCCCCACCCTTCAAACCGAGACGCATTACTGCTTCACGGCAGAAATAGGCAGGGTGGTGGTACTCACCCGCGCGGACTCACAAGAGAGTTTCTCGCCAGATCTTATTTTATTGTTGTTTTAATATTAAATTATTATTGTCGATTTATAATTGCATAAGTTGATAAAAAATGCTATGCAATAGCTTTACCGCGGCAGTCTCCGAGTGTCACACGTCTTTTCTTTATTATGAAACTGATCGTATCAATCATAGCAGGCTTTCGACATCCGTATCCTCAATATGGGGCGAGAGTGGTGCCACAGCGAACACGGGCAGCTCCTCAAAATCGGAAAGCTGCGAAAAGGCCAGGAAATTGCCCATAATCAATCCCCTGGTGCAGCTACCGGCTTGGCCACACGTTACCCAGGGCTTCATCAGTCAATGTCTGCTCGCAAACGCGGATGCCCTTTGCGCGGCGGTGAGTCCCCTCATGGACCCCGACGAGACCTTGCTGGAAGGTTTCTACGAAAGAGCCGTCATGAATAATTACTTTGGAATCGGTATTGATGCAAAAATAACCCTGGACTTCCATAATAAGCGGGAAGAGCATCCGGAGAAGTGTAGGTCAAGAGCCAGGAACTACATGTGGTACGGCGTTTTGGGATCGAAGGAATGGGTCAACAGAACGTACAGGTGAGTTTGATAAACAAAAACTGTCTATATATATTTTTGAGACTACGACATTATTAATCTCAAGACGGGTGGCGGAATTTATTTTGTGATGGAGATGGAATTTTACTGGTGGTAGGACCTCTTGTGAGTCCGCGCGGGTGGGTACCACAGCCCTGCCTATTTCAGCCGTGAACCGGTAATGCGTTTCAGTTTGAAGGGCGGGGCAGCCGTTGTAACTATACTGAGACCTTAGAACTCATATCTCAAGGTGGGTGGTGGCTTTTACGTTGTAGTTGTTTATGGGCTCCGGCAACCACTTAACACCATGTGGGCTGTGAGCTCGTCTATCCATCTATGCAATAAACAAAAAGTGACAATTTCGGAGGCTTACGAAATATTTTACCGACAGGCACTTGGGTCAAAGGGTCCAGTTGGAGTGCGACGGTCAGAGGATACCCCTCCCGGAGCTGCAGGGAATCGTCGTTCTGAACATACCCTCCTTCATGGGCGGGACGAACTTCTGGGGCGGCACCAGAGCGGATGACATATTCCTCGCGCCATCATTCGACGATAGAATACTTGAAGTGAGTCCAAGGTTCATTCTTTTTTTTTCTTCTCGTTATAAATAACTAATTTGTGAATTAAATAAATACTTGTAATACAAAGACCAACCTATGACGATTGTCCCCGGTCACAGTCCTCGTCGAACCTGTCGCTTGCGACGAAGGGCTCGACGAGCGAATTAACCCACAAACACAGCCCACTGAGTTTCTCGCCGGATCTTCTCAGTGGGTCGCGCTTCCGATCCGGTGGTAGACTCTGCGAAGCACTGCTCTTGCTAGGGCCAGTGTTAGCAATACTCTGGTTTGAGCCCCGTGAGCTCACCTACACGTTAGAGTGAAGCTGAAATAGCCTCTCAAGGCTATCAGCATAGGTAGGATAAAAAGAAGAAAAAAAAAAAGAAGATTGTCAATTTGATTCCTACGGTTAGTCTTTCTTACTTTAATCTTTGCACGAGATTAGTAGTTAGTGTGGCTGTGGCTGAATACGAGATATTTAATCCAAAGTTTCAAGATGACCTTGCATATACACAAGTTGTAATGGAAAAGTTTTTGAACGTAAAAAGACCTGCTCGATGAAGGATGCTTCCTTTGTCTCCTGGAAAATCGGGACGATAATTATTTTAATAATCTCTTTAATTTTATTTGTATCATTAATAACTGTTTATCGAAAAATAAAACAATTGTTAAAGCCAGAATAAGGAATCTACCTAACTAACATAAAGTACTTCTGATGGGAAGTACCCATCCGGGCTTAAACCTCCGAAAACTCCCCACCTACCACCAGTATGGAATTTCTTCAAAATTGTCGGCTCAATTTGGATAAATATTTTTTTTTAATTCACGTAGAGCCTAAGAAGGCAAAAGCAAACTCCGTTTCTCTGACGTAATTAGATAAAATACGAAACTGACAGCAGCCAGTCACGATAAAAGTAATTTGAGTGAAAGACACAAGGATCCAACTATAGACCGTCCCATTAAATAAGTCCTAATCAATCTTAACCCTGTCGACTAGAACTGGGCTGAGTCCTGTTGGTGACTTAGTAATTTGAAAAAAATAATTGGTATAGACAAAATCGATTTTCTTTTTTTTTATTTAATTAAGTACCATTTGCTAATCTAACTGCACTAAGATTGCTCTCTGAATTTTTTCTTTAACTTTTGACAAGCTTCGGTGTTATCATTAAAAAGAATTGTATTGTCACTTTTTTGTGAAATGCCATTAGATCGAAACAGAAAATGTAAAACATAAAATGAATCTTGACTTTAGGTATCAGTCATTATGGTTGAGTTTCGATTTATGGGCGAACATTAGTTTTGTTAAAATTGCAAATGATTTTTAACGCTCTGTACACAGGTACATCAATTCAAGTTCCACTTGATGTACATTGGTTATTGAAGTACGTAGATATCGTTTTTTTTTTTATTGCTTATGTGTGTGGACGAGCTCACAGCCCACCTGGTGTTAAGTGGTTACTGGAGCCCATAGACATCTACAACGTAAATGCGGCACACACCTTGAGATATCGTTCTAAGGTCTCAGTATAGTTACAACGGCTGCCCCACCCTTCAAACCGAAACGCATTACTGCTTCACGGCAGAAATAGGCGGGGCGGTGGTACCTACCCGTGCGGACTCACAAGAGGTCCTACCACCAGTAAAAAATCGTAACATGAGTGTGGCAACCATGCGACATAAACTTATGTTCTAATTTAAATTTCGTATAAGGGTGGCATCGCCTATCCGTGCGGGCTCACAACACGCCCTAACCCCAGTAATTATGCAAACTGGTAAAATTTTCATGTTTAGTTTAATACACGTTGTTATTCCTTAACTGAAGTTGTTCGTTAACACGTGTTTAATACTTAATTCATCATCGTTCTCCTGTGCTTCTCCCAGTCACCGGGGGTCGGCGCAACTTGTTCTCTCCTTCTATACTCCTCTATCACATATCGTCTTTCACGCAATCCATCCATTTTTTCTTAGGTCTACCTCTTCCTCTAAAGCCTTTCACATTCATACTTAAAACTCTCTTAACAACCTCGTTGTCATTTCGTCTCATTACATGTCGATACCATCCCAAACGCGCACTTCTCAACTTCTCGGTGTTAAATACTTAATTGCTTAGCCTATTGGTTTGGTATTACGTGATTTGAACACAGGCATATTCGTATCATCTTCGAGTACGCCCGGCATTATGCACTTTAGTCGTCTTGATTGGTATCATTATAATGTCTGCAATTCGTCACAAACACAAAAGGACACAAAGAAAGTTTTATTTAAGACGAACACGAAATGTAGAAAGAAGGAGAAAGTAAACAAGAAATAGATAGCCGGTTCGTCAATGCACCGATGTATCGTGTTCTATCTATGTATCGTGTATAGTTATCGCCTTTTTTTTTATTGCCCTTGTAGGCAGACGAGCATACGGCCCACCTGATGGTGAGTGGTTACCGTCGCCCATGGACTTCAGCAATGCCAGGGGCAGAGCCAAGCTGCTGCCTACCGTTGAATATTCTCCACAAGCCTCGTTTGAAGAAGGACATGTCATAGCGCTCGGGAAACACCGTGGAGGGGAGCTCATTCCATAGCCGGATGGTACGTGGCAAAAAAGACCTCTCAAAAAAGGCCTGACTATGCTTGTGAATTAATTTTGTTTAGTATAAATAATGTTTAGTATGATTGTGTGATAAATGAATGTATTGATATAAAATAAAGTATGTATGTACTGTTGTGTAGTGTAATTATAATAATATATTATAAAAAAATAAATACATGTGAGTCACCCGCAGGCACAACTTCATTTCTATTAAACAAATAACTACACCACGGTGTCAATAAATAGAACAAAAGTACCTTATCCCTGTCTGAACAATGTCGTATCGTCATCACTAACGCAAATTAAATTCGGTCTGTCGAAACCTGTAAACGGGTATTCGAAAATATTAAATACTAGCGACCCGCCCTCGCTTCGCTTCGGAAACATTTAACTTTATTATTAACTAGCTGACCCGGCAGACTTCGTAGTGCCTCAATCGATAAATAAAAGATCTAAACTTCCGGATTAAATAAACTTAAATAAAAACAAAAGGAATCCGTCCGACAGGGGACACATCAAAGGGAAAACAAAATTGTTATTTTTATTTAATTCCGAACATTTTCATATTTATCTACCTTTTAAACCTTTTCTGGACTTCCACAAATAATTAAAGACCAAAATTAGCCAAATCGGTCCAGCCGCTCTCGAGTTTTAGCGAGACTAACGAACAGCAATTCATTCTTATATATATTATACATAGCAGAGTCTCGCGATGTTACCCGTGGCTATTTTCTAAGCTACGAAAATAGCGGGGCCAAGCTAGTCTAAAAAAAGTAGCCTAAGTTACTCTTTAGATCATCAGCTATCTATCAGTGAAAATCTCGTCAAAATCGGTCCAGCCGTTCCAGAGATTAGCCGGAACAAACAGACAGACAGACAAAAATTAAAAAAAATGTTATTTTGATGTATCTACCGTATATATATTCATACGCATGTAGTAAAAAGCGGTTATTACAATATTACAGACACTCCAATTTTATTTATATGTACAGATGTATCAGCGGGGTAAAACAATGTAAAAGTTTTAATAGAAAGGCAATTTTCTTTGTAAATAGTGAAAGAGAAGAATTGCTTTTGTTTGTTGGTAGTAATGGACTTGGCAGTTTTTAAATTAGGTCGTTCGACTCGCAACATTCAACTCGGCGTGGCGTTTGTTTTCTAATTTAAATTAATTATTTCTGCCGTGAAGCAGTAATGCGTTTCGGCTTGTAGGGTGGGGCAGCCGTTGTAACTATACTGATACTCTACAACTTATATCTCAAGGTGGGTGGCGCATTTACGTTGTAAGTGTCAATGGGCTCCAGTAACCACTTAACACCAGGGTGGGTGGCTGTGAGCTCGTCCACCCATAAAAGCAATAAAATTTTTTTTTAAGAAGAATCAGTATAAAAATGCGGCAGATATTATTATTTAGACGGAAAACAAAGATAGATTAACTATTTAGTTTCCAAATTATATAATAGCATTCTAAATATGCCTCGCTCTGTAATTGAAAAACAATGAAAAAAAAAAAATTTTTTTTGCTTAGATTGGTGGACGAACTCGCAGCCCAACTGGTGTTGAGTGGTTACTAGAGCCCATGGACATCTACAACGTAAATGCGCCACCCACCTTGAGATATAAGTTCTAAGATCTCAGTATAGTTACAACGGCTGCTCCACCCTTCAAACCGAAACGCATTACTGCTTCACGGCATAAATAGGCAGGGCGGTGGTACCTATCCGCGCGGACTCACAAGAGGTCCTACCACCAGTAATTACGCAAATTATAATTTTGCGGGTTTCAATTTTATTACACGATGTTATTCCTTCACCGTGGAAGCCAATCGTGAACATTTGTTGAGTACATAATTCATTAGAAAAATTGGTACCCGCCAGGGATTCGAACACCGTTGCATCGCTCAACACGAATGCACCGGACGTCTTTTATCCCTTAGGCCACGACGACTTCCAATTTGCTGAATAGATATTAATTTAAGAAGTATGTACTACAATTTTACCAAATAACACGCTTATATCATATTTTAACTTGAAAATTTGTAGTCTAAACGATAATATACGATAATAATGGTCGTATTGCATCTGCTACAAATTCATAATGCTTAAGAAATTGATTATGTTAAATGTAGGTAGGTACATTTGTTTTATAAAGAAGAGCTCACTACAAAACTGCCAATTGAACTTGATTGCAAGATTTATAAGGCTCTTTGATTTTACGGGAATACACGACAAAGCCCTTTATAAAATTTATATGATTGTCCGTTTCAATAAAGAAGTCGACGGCTCTTCGCTTTTACGTTCTGACCCCGATACGACATTACGTTATTAAGGATCCATCTCGGATTTATCTCAGGCTCCATGTAATATTCATTCGCACGTGTAAATGAAAGTACCTCATTTCTAAATTCATAATTTTTGAGACATTTGTAGAAACAGACTTACTGGTGGTAGGACTTCTTGTGAGTCCGCGCGGGGAGGTACCATCACCCTGCCTAATTCTGCCGTGAAGCAGTAATGTATTTCGGTTTGAAGGGTGGGGCAGTCGTTGTAACTATACTGAGACCTAAGAACTTATATCTCAAGGTGGGTGACGCATTTACGTTGTACATGTCTATTGGCTCCAGGAACCACTTAACACCAGGTGGGCTGTGAGCTCGTCCACCCATCTAAGCAATAAAAAACAAAAATACACGTAGGTATATTTTATTTTATCAGTTTAGCGAACTTTAAGTAGCATACTGATGCCTTAAGCTTTAGGAATTAATAGTTTAGGACCATTATGATGACATCCACTTCGCCGCAGAACCTATTTCGATTTTATAAAGATCTCTCCCTACGCAGAATTTTGATATTTAGCCCAAATAAGTTGTTTGAAGCCTTAGATAATAACATTATTTTTCTAAGGATCGTTATTCCTTAAAATAGTTTTGACCAACTTTAGAGTTAGATCATTTTGATCTAGCCGTCCGCATGAGATATTACCAAATGTCTCTATGTACGTAGAGAGATTTAATTCTATTCCTTTGAGTCACTCGTACGATGCTCTCAATAAAAGTGATTCGTTTTTAATGGAACGGAATAGGATTGGATCTTTTGATTGAAATCCAGGACGTTCTTTGTAAAAGGTTTTCATTAAACATTCAAGTGAAAGTTGAACATTAGTAGCATTCCTAGTTTTCGTAAGTAGAATTTCACTGTTCGTTTTGTGAGATCTTACAGAGCTGAAGTTTTTCAAAGCAATCAAGCCTTTACTAAAGAGTTTTATATTCCTACTAGGTGACCCGACAAACGTTGTTTTACCATATAATTTATTTCTGGGAAAGATAAATAATCTAAATACCGACTGCAGCGCCATCTGCTGGGTTGATTTGTGAATCTAAACCATCCAGGGCGCCACCCAAATGCATACAAAAAGAATCCATTCAAATCGGTCCAGCCCTTTAGGAGGAGTTCAGTGACAAACACATGCACAGAAGAACTATATATATAACGATAATTTATTATTGGTATTTAAATCTCTATATACATATACACATAAAAGTCACCGTGTATATGACCTCCATATACCTTCAAGTCCATAGCTTCGAAGCGGCTGGACCGATTTTGTTGAAATTTTTAGGAAACCTTCAGATTTACCTGGCGGTTTGATACCTGTGCACTTTTGATAGCGATCGATCAAACTCGAATCAAATATCGGCCATTAGTTTTGACTAGTAAATTAAATAATAATAGATTAAGTATCAAACATCACGATATCACAATCAAATCTCGCATTTGCACCGTAAAGCGTTTTGAATCGAACAAGTTTAAGATTTGTTTTAAGATTTTCGATAGCCTCAGAATCAGCTGCATTAATACTCCTCCTCAACCTTATTGTAATATATGTATATATTTTCTATAATAATGTATTGTATATAGTACACCGCAACATACCTGCTATATATTTTACAGAATTCCTGTAAATTAAACGACTGTCTAGAAGAGATCGCTTTTAGCGATAAGACCGCCTACTGTACAAATGTACTGGTGGTAGGACCTCTTGTGAGTCCGCACGGGTAGGTACCACCGCCCCGCCTATTTCTGCCGTGAAGCAGTTATGCGTTTCGGTTTGAAGGGTGGGGCAGCCGTTGTAACTATACTGAGACCTTAGAACTATATCTCAAGGTGTGTGGCGCATTTACGTTGTAGATGTCTATGGGCTCCAGTAATCACTTAACACCAGGTGGGCTATGAGCTCGTCCACACATCTAAGCAATAAAAAAAAAAACTATTTTTTACTGTTTTTTTTAATGTAAATTGTGTTATGATGTGCAATAAAGTGTATTCTGTCTCTCTCTCTTAGGTGGTGGCAGTTTTCGGTTCAGCCCAAATGGCAGCTTCGCGTCTGATCAACCTTCAGAAACACCGCATCGCCCAGTGCCGGGCCGTTCAGATTAACATTCTCGGCGAAGAGTGCGTACCGGTCCAAGTGGACGGTGAAGCCTGGCTCCAGCCCCCGGGGTGCGTCAGAATCATACACAAGAACCGGGCGCAGATGCTGTGTCGATCCAGAGCCTTGGAGACAAGCCTACGGTGAGTTCGGTATTCTGATATCCACAGTATATCCACGGTATATCAATATCTGATATACGGTAAGTTCGGTATTTTTGGTAGGCAGCAGCTTGGCTCTGCCCCTGGCATTGCTGAAGTCCATGGGCGACGGTAACCACTCACCATCAGGTGGGCCGTGTGCTCGTCTGCCTACAAGGGCAATCAAAAAAAAACTATACTAGGGGTCGGCAACCTGCGGATCTTTGGATATGAAACTACGGCTCTTTAGTTCCATACGCAAATATTTACTTATTTTATAAAAAAAAAAACATTTAATAATTGTTCTGAATCGACTAACAAGGATTGGGCACCATTTCTATCTCTCAGCCCATTGTTGTAAGTAAATGTTTAATTGTTTTCATTTTTTACTTAAATAATAAGTGTTTATGTAATAATACCACATATGTATATATTATCCAATTTGTTGTAAAAAACACTACTTATATAAGAATAAATACATTTTTTGTGGCTCTTTAAAAACTTTGAAATTTTGTAAATTGTAATTTTTGGGTCTTGCGAATCAAAAGGTTGCCGACATCTATCTGCTCTATATCATAGAACCTTTAAATATATTTCTACTGTATTCTCATCGTCGGATACAAAACGACGGCTCTAAATCATTGTGTTTTAGGTCGAGATTAAAAAGAACTTAATTTTTTTAATAAACAAGTGTAATAAAGTCGTAAATGAACATTAAACACCACTACGGGTCTTAGACATTCATTTTTGTATATGAAAATATATATATTTTATGAAATTAACTGAAGCAAGAAACGTCTTGGTTAATAGAGATGTAAAACCTTTGGATTTGTTTTGAAATTCCTTTGGGAGGCTTAACGACGGAGGAAAGATCTTCCACCGAGCGGGTGATATTGCTCGGTAGACCGACGGTCCGAATGTTGTTGTTCGGAACTTGTATATATGTGAGCTTATCTTGAAAATGTCGTAAGCGAGATTCAGGCATCTGTCAAATATCTTGCGTTGTATGATGGCTACCCGCCACATGCCTTTCAGTTCACTTTTTTAATGTTTTGAAAGTGTTTCAATAGCGGAAAGAGTAAATGTAGTCGTTATATCGAAAACAGGACGTGGGATGAGAAGCAACAGTTGAAAGCCCACGCTTTGGCCGGCTCTGGTACTAATGTCAACGCGAGCGCTTCCACCAGCGGCCGTGACGTCCTACTGGCTGCCGAGAGCGCCCAACTCTTGGCGCTACTTGATGACATCAACACCCTCGTCAAACACGTAAGCCACGGCATAACAGAGAGAGAGAATACACTCTTGTTACTGGTGGTGGTTGGACCACTTGTGAGTCCGCGCGAGTAGGTACCACCACCCCGCCTATTTCTGCCGTGAAGCAGTAAGGCGTTTCGGTTTGAAGGGCGGGGCGGCCGTTATAACTATACTTGAGACCTTGGAACTTATATCTCAAGGTGGGTGGCGCATTTACGTCGTAGTTATCTCGTGTTGTGTGACAGCTACCCGCTACACTTTTGTCGTCGGATTGTATTAATGTTGTTCTACCCTCTGACCCGCAGGTGAAGTTGTCCTGTATCAGCGAGAGCGCGGTGTCGGGCGGCGTGTGCAGCGCGGTGTCCATTGCGCGCCGCGTGTCCGCGCAGGCCGACGCGCTGCAGGACGCCGACGGAAAGCTCCTCCCGGCCCCTCAACTGAGGAGACATCTCGCTACTTTGGTGAGAAACATGATGCTCCCTCTAAATTATATAATATAATTTGTGTAATAGCTGGCGGTAGGAGCGCTTGTGAGTCCGTACAGGTAGGTACCACCGCCCTGCCTATCTCTACCGTGAAGCAGTAATGCGTTTCGGTTTGAAGGGCGAGACAGCCGTTGTGACTATACTGAGACCTTAGAACTCATATCTCAAGGTACGTGGTGGCATTTACGTAGTAGATGTCTATGGGCTCCGGTAACCACTTAACACCAGGTGGGCAGTGAGCTCGCTCACCCATCTAAGCAATAAAAAAATAAAATCAAAACAGCAGAGGTCTGTGGGCTGAAAAAAAATTAATATATGTACTAAATACGAAGTCCCATACGTTCTAAAGGTGGAAAGCTGTCACGAGCTGCTGGAGAGCGGCGGCGTGTCGGGCGCCGGCGCCGCCGCCGCCGCCTCGCTGCGGGCACACCTCGCCAGGTGCGAGCTTAGAGACGGACACGCCTACCTGCACGCGGACGAGGTACGTAGTATATATAATGATTGATGAAATAATAAACACAAATCGAATATTTAACGAAGGATCGAGATGGATTATATAATACGCTTATAGCATTTTTAGCATGCTATGTGAATTAATTGTTTTATCAAACTTCAGCTTTTTTATTATAACGCTAATCAACGATGAAATAATTACGATTGATCAAAATACACTAATTATGCTTATAGCATTTTAGCATGCTATGTGAATAATTTTTTTCAAACCTCAACTTATTTTATGATGATTGTGTTAATACTTTTTTTAGAACAAATTCACGGCTCACCTGATGATAAGTAATTACCATAGCTCATAAACGTTATTACGAGACTGCTGTCACTGTTTATGGTAGGCAGCGGCTTGGCTCTGCCCCTGGCATTGCTGACGTCCATGAGCGACGGTGACCACTTACCATCAGGTGGGCCGTATGCTCGTCTGCCTAAAAAGGCAATAAAAAAAAATAAAAATAAAAACTCGCTCTGAGATAAACGCTCTAAGTCTCAATTGTGTTCAACGACTGTTTTAATTTTATTTTATTATTACTGCTTCGTGGTGGAAAGGCAAGGTGTTGGTAGCTACCCGTGCGAACCCTCAAGATACCTTACCGTACCAGCTTATATACGTTGTATATATATAATAGTACTGACAATTAATTTGATTGTTGTGTGTTTAATAATACTTTTTGTACATCATCGACTCCAGACTCTGCCCACCAAACTCCCCAAGTCTTACCGTAGACTCTCATTAGACGGCATCAGATTGTATTTTTGAATTGCGTTAACATTATCATCAGTACGTAACTGCCCGGTCACACACGCATACACACACACACACATACAAACTAGTGACGAGTCGTATTATTCCATTAGTATAAACCCTGACCTACCTCTACTCCGACCTTAGATCCCAAAGAAAGGCCGCTGGCTCCGGGGTCGGAGGAGCGTCTCAGAAGGTCCGACCACAGTCGCTGCAGTGCGCTCGTGGGGCGTCAAGGAAGTTCAGAACTGGCTTGAGTCACTCCAGCTCGGGGAATATGCTGACGCGTTTACGAAGCACGACGTGACGGGGCGAGAGCTCTTGTCCTTGGCCAGGAGGGACCTCCGGGACCTTGGAGTGACTAAGGTAGGTCACGTGAAGAGAATCCTTCAGGCAGTCAAGGAGCTGCAGTGACAACGGCGCGGCCGCTCCGAGGGAGACGGCCACAGTTAATCTATGTATCTTTTGTGATCTCTGATGCCTAACTTCCTATTTGTGATTTGATATTTATTAAAAAAGAAGATTTTCTATTAAATTACTATTAATTAGCTTTCACTACGCTTAATAAAATTATGATTTGTACATATATAAACTGTACCCATGTAAACACCACTTTTATAATTTACCTAAAGTGCTTTCCGAAAATTATATTCCGTAATGAACGAATTTACAATAATCACTGTCCTGAAAAGTTTGTAATAAAACTATTAAAAAATTATTACATAAATAATATAGATTTTTTTTATATTTAATAATTGTATTAGTTTGTCTAATTTCAACGAATTCTTCTACCTCTTCTAAACTGGGTTCCTGAATTTAGTATTATCTATGCTTTTAGAGTCACAGAGATTACTAATAATAAAATTCAACGATATTTAAAATACATTTCTTTTATCATTTATGATTAATTACAACCTATATATAAAAATATACATGGATACATACTATATAATAAAATATATATTGCGTTAAAATTATATATATTAAGATATGCATGAATATATATTTCGAAGGATTCATCTTTTATTATATTTTATAGGCCAAAAACTATAGAAAGAAATCAGGGAAATATGGCGAGTATTATGCTAGAGGTCGCATCGGCCAGACTCTGTGGTACCTAACCTTAGTGGCTTCCACTTATTTAAAATCACTAACAAGAAATGAGCTGAAACTCACACATAATGACGTTTGACGCTGCTAAGATACGATTGCATTAAATTATACACTATTAATTGAAAAAAAAAAAACAAACTAAATGAATTTGGAATAGGTATTTTAGCTCAATTAAATCCCAGTTGATTTCGTTAACTCGTGTTTTTAATCAAGAGCCTCCGCGGTAACATACATTGTAAACAGCAACAAATAAATAGGGAACAGCTTAAACACAAATAAATAGGGAACAGCTTAAACGAATTTATTAGTAACTATACCAGTCAATATTCTCATATTTTATTAAATTCTGTATCTATCGTTAACTATTAATAAATCAGACTTATGATGCTATATTAATATGTGCCGCTTTTGAATCCTATAACATAATAATAAGATCATACAATTTTAGTATATATTTTCATTTAAATTATTATAAATAAAAAAATAACTTATACCAATCGAAATTCCCCCAAAATTACCAAATAATTCCCAAAACTTTTTTTTTATAGTAAAAGTCTATTTATGACGATTTCTAGAATATGAAATTAAATTGGTATTAAAAAGATTTTTTGTCCTTGACAACCCACATTCGTAATAATATCGTTTGGACATAGACGAACTAGCTGCCAAATTGTGGTCATAATAAGCTGAATATGATTTTTAATATAATACTATATGTATAATCATAACGAATTTACAATCCTATCTAGTTTTATTAAGATAATATTTATCTATACACTATAATTTACATACAAGCTTTTTTTTTGTAATATTAGAAGTCTTGTTTTCAAAGTTTCTTCTGTCAATATAACGTTTACAAAAAGATCAATATGTATATAGAACAGAAACAATTTGCCTTTGGGTAATTAGTCAAATAGCCATATAAAAATATTGATAACAATGGGATGGAATAAAATGGAAGAACACAATTAAAAAAAAGTAAATATTCATTTTACATTACGAAATAAAAATTGACAAAAATTCAAATAACTCAAACACCGAGACAAAAACTCTACCAAGTCAGTTCAAATATAACTTAAATTATCTTTTACATTATTTAATTAGTAGTAGAAATTTGTCAGTTCAAATATAACTTAAATTATCTTTTACATTATTTAATTATTAGTAGAAATTTGAAACACAATAAGAATAAACTCATAATATGGTAGGTATTTACGTCAAGTAAAATTGACAACACTAACGAACACTATAGATATTCAACTAATGACCACTAACTACATACTAACACTATTAATTGACTTAAACATTTTAAATACACAGATATAATTGGACCATTTATTTTGAAAGTGGTGTAAGTCAATTTTTGAGAAAAATGAGCTATCACGTAATTCATGCTTAATTTAATGTATTTTTTTTATATAATGACTAGTCCGTGTTTAATTTCTCAAAAAAATCCCATGTTTTGTACAACTTAAAATCGGTCGGTACCTAAATGAAATTGCATAATCATCGATTATGAAAGTGGTGTAAGTCCAATTGACAGAGGTAGGTGGCATAGCCAGACCTCATATGATTTGCCTGTATTTTTAAATCAACAAAATATATAGTAACCTTTAATTTTCTCGAAACAAAAGAAAATGGACTTACACCACTTTCAAAATAAACGGTCCAATTAACGATTATGACATTTCGCTACTTCGGCTGTTGCTATTAATAATATAGACTACATACGTAAACAAACAATTCCATACACTTCATTACCGACTTTTTTTATCGCAAATAAAAATAATAGAAGCAGTATTGGTAGTAAATAAACAAGCCTATATAGTTAGAACCAGTCTGTCTGTAATCAGACGATAGGCCAAATGTAGCTCTGGTATTATTTCTTAATTAATGAAGTGCTCTTTCTAGGCGTTTATTATTCTCTTTCTAATTTTTTCAGACGCTTATTATACCTATGTATTCTTATTATACCTAAATATTTTAACATTATCAAAAGGTATAAACGAAACATATTCTTTTGATTCTATAGTAGATGTATAAATTTCCTGTATTATATTATATAAGCACGCTATTTAATAATATTAAATATAATTCATGGAATATTTTAACTATCATGCTATTTTCTAATAATACTTATTAAAAACTGTGGTCGTGCTCCATCGAACCCGTTCACTTTAGTAATAATGATTGTTCGTTCAATATTCTAAATGATATTAGGTAAGCGATTTCACGTAATGCGTGTATGTGTGTGTGTTTGTATTAATGATAGTCTATTTACAAAATGTGATCTCTTGTTGTTTATGTTACCTTTAGTATTTCTAGATTAAACTACGGCTGCGTTCGATGAAAATTACGTAACTTTGACCACGTACTTAAAAAATTAAAAATAGTTATAAAATGAAACAGCAGAACGTTAGAGAACGTTAATAACCTAATCGGAACAGATAAATAAATTTAACATTATTAACATCAATAATTTTAACCTAGTCCAACGCAGTCGGATTCTCCTTGATCTGCCTTATAAATGTTTTTTATAAATTTATCTCTACGGATTTACGACTCTTAAATAAATTATATTTGTGTAAAAGATTAATGCGTGTCTATTTATATGTATATTTACATTAGTATAGAAAGGGAACGTGATCGTATGTCAAGGAACTATCAATGTTTCCGCCGTTTGGATGCGGTAGTTTTATGCCTTAGATAAAGAACATTCGAAAATACTAATAATTATGATAATAATATGACTTTATAGATTAAAAATATTGTCTTGTACTAATCTTATAAAGGTAGATACCCTTCGATTTATGAATTAGTAATGCTGTCACCGATACAAACAAATGATTGTTATTATAAAACAGAAAGACAATGCACTAAAGGTGCATTATATTGTTCTAATACATTCGTTGCATTAAAACTGCAGTATGACTTTATAAGATAAAAAAATTACTTGAGAAATTTATTTCTGGAACACTTTTCCGATTTTCGCTTTTTCCTCCTTTTTTCGTAAATGATAAATGTAAGAATAGAATGCGAACCAAAATTTAAAGTATGATTAATCTTTTCAAAGATGAGCAAAAGTTTTAAGTGTGGTAGTAGGGTTCATAAAAAAATAAAATAAAATGTAAATTATTGTTCATGACGTCAACGAATGTTTAAAGCAATAACGATGCTCTCACACGTACCCAGGCGTCCATCTTTAAAATCTTTATTAGTAAATAACCCGTCAACTTTTTCCCGCTTTCACAGAACGTTTTCTTTCAATTAGTTTCAATGGTTTATTCTGTGGCATATAAACTAATGGTCTAAAACAAATATAAACATCGCTATTATGGTGTCTGTTCTATAAAAACAATCTCCTTAAAGATATCTAATTAAAGATTATTAAAAATTATTTCGTAATAATATGTAATTAATAAATAATTAAATATAAAAAATTTATTCATTCTAAAGATTTTAAATATCGTGTTTGAAATTAAGAAAATGTGATTCTGTTTCATACGGTTTTTCTCTTATAATCATATCAGTATGTAAGTTTTCTTATATTTAAGCGCATACGTATTACTAATTTGTTTAATATGTCCTTTTCACGATCTATCTATTGGCTAAGCGTATGGCTATGATGTTTCTTTATTATAAGTCGTGATTATAACTTTGAAAATCTATTTGAAATAATATACTTTTGAATTTGGAGTGAATACATGTATCTGTATTTTTTGTCTTCTTTTATGCTACATCTTACATTTATTTAATAGGAATTTACGAATTGTGTGTTTAATGTTGCATAAAGTCAAGATTCTAGTCATTGTGTTTAGTTATTTTCAAATCATTTTGAAATATCTAGTAAATCGAATTCTAAGTGTATCGAAAAGCAATAAATTATTCAATACTAATCTTATTGTTGTCGTGATTTTTAAAGTAAAATGTAATTGGATTCGATATTAGTATATTATTTTTTTCGTAGTTCAATAAAGTACATTAGAGCGTTAACCGTATCGTTTGACTTTGGCTTCAAGCTGTTGATGTTTGACATTTTGAAAAGTACGAATTGTCAAATACAAGTTTTGTGTACGTACAGTCCAATTTAGCGAATGATACCGCGTTTTCATTGTGACTGATGTTAAAGTCAAATGATACGGTAATAGATTGTATGGTAATAGTGTTCTTGTGTTGTTCAACGCTATGCCGCTTGTAAGTTAAGTTCAAAAATTACTTAAATATTATATTATTTGTAAAAAATTATTTAAATTTGCATTATAAGTTATAACCTACAATTCAATTGTATACGATTACGGCTTCAATTAATTAAGTGCATTGAGACCAAATTTATGATATTATTGTAGTTCCCGTTTTCGATTTTAAATATTTCTGAACATTTTTTTTTTATAACGCTTCTCAGAATATCATCCTATTGTCTAATGAAGATGTTCTAATGTCAGTCTTTTTACTGTTTTTTTTTTTAAAAAAAACACTGATATTAGACGTGATCATATTAGGCAAAAGACTT